TTAACAAACTATTTATTCCTCATGGAGCACATGTCAGTAATAATTCTTTATTTTATGAAGAAAAATTTTTAGAAAATTATAAAATAAAATTTTTCAATGTTTTATTTCAGGTTAAAATGAATCGAGAATCGAATTTGTCATTGAATAAAATAACAAGTAAAAGGCATTATTTTTCACCAATTATCCTTCAAATGTGTTTCATCATTTTGATTATCTTCAATTTGTTTGTTGTTTATTTCTTTAATGAAATAAATGTTTGGTGGAGCGAATATGTTGGTCCTGCAATAATCATTGAACAACATGATGAAGATACGTTGAAATTTTGAAAAATATTTATTTTATTATCAATAGAAGTAGCTCAGAACAAGAAAAAAATGACTGGATATTCGTTGTTCTTCAATTTTTTAAAGCTTTTCTTTTAGTTTCATTAATGAATTATGAAGAAGAACTCTTTGTTGTTGTTTTTTTCTATGGTACATACTTCTATTGAATTCATTAATTATAACATTTTATTTACATTTGTAGAGATCGTTCTTAAGTTCTCTATTATTTCTATATATTTTTTCTTTATAATTACAAAATAGAATAAACTTGTTCATTCTATCTTCAACGAAATTCTATAATAAGATTTTATCTTTATTAGAATGATTTAAATTACAAAACTCATGCATGATAAACAAACATGGTATTAACAAAATAAATAATCCAAACTACAATATTATTTTTTTATTTAGATCTTGTTTTGAAATATTTATAAATTCATTCGTAGACTATTAATATCTTTGAAAAATTTATTTTGAAATATCTTTATCAATATACACACAGAATTAGAATAATTCTATTAAATTTCTTTAATGCTTTCTAAGTTTTAACAAGTCTATACAAGTCTACTCAGAGTTAGATACATAAATCTCTGTGAAAATGCTGTTTGGTTGACATGTGCTCCATGAGGAATAAATAGTTTGTTAAGAAAAACTATATAGTATCCTAACTGCTCTTTTGATTGATTATATGTAACTTAGACGTTTTGTAATCGTCTCATGTTTTATCATGACTGGAAAAACGTCAAACAAAAAAAGATTTGAACGGGAAAATCAATTTTTTCCTTGGCCTTCTCATCTAAATTCATGGTTGACAGAGTACTTTCCTTGCTAATATCTTGAATACAACATTACTTTTGTGTCAAAATTGTAACTTTTTTTGTTTTGCTTGATTGAACATTGTAAATGATGAATATAATTATCTTTACGTATCGGTTTTGAATATATATACTTCAAACATAGTGCAGACTATACGTCTCAATATAGATACAGACGACGAGAAAAACAATAAGAAACTAAAAGGAATGTATATAACTCGAACAATGCATAATCTTAATTGTTTGTTAACACGTATTGTAACAGACATAAAACTGTAGTCACTCGAGTGAATGAGATTATCTATTTCATCTGTTTGTTATTTTCAAGTTAAAATGAACGCTGCCTTTAATTGATATAGGAGAAAGGTATACTCAGCAAGATCGAGCGAAGAATTCAGTTTTTTTGAGCAATTATCACTATTGATCGTTAGCTTGCAAAACTTTATTTTATATATATGAAATATTTTTAGTTGATGATATACTTTTCTTCTACAGGGGCAGAATTTTCTCATCACATAGAAAAAAGATTTATTTAACAAAAAAAAAAAAAAACTTTTCATACATCACATTAATAGTGGCGAAGACAAGAAAAAATTCGAAGGGCATACTCAAATACCATTCGAAGTTAAAAAGTAGAAATTTTATTCTCCTATAATACATAGTTTCCGAAGAAGCTCAAAGATTTTTGGAGGGAACTCAAAGATTCTTGGACGAAGCTGAGCTTTCTCTCTATCATTATCCCTCAACAAAAAAATCATTATATTTTTTAAAACATTAAAATTTTTTTTTCACAGAAAAAATGCTTATATTATCTTTTATTTCGTCCTAATCTGTTTGAATTTTATTGGTGCCGTCTTTTTCTAGAAAAAGTAGCTTACGTGCCAACACTAAATTTAAAAAACCTTCATTTATGATGCAAAGATCAAACATTTTTCATCATCAGACTCCAAGAACATGAAGTAAATCATAAAAATAAATAAATGCATATAAATAGAACAAAAATGATAACATTATCGTACTTGAAATGTAACTAAGTCATTGGCATTACATTGATTGCTTATCATTGCCTAATTTATTTTCTAAATTTTTCATTGTATTTGTCTTTCGTATCATGACAAGAATAGTTTTTTTGCTTCTTCTTTTTTGACTTAAAAACGAAACATATCAGTAACTAAAATCGAAAAATTCAAAATTAATTAAGAATTACGTATAAGCAAATAATAGCCACATTAGAATGTCAATTCTAAATGAAATATTTTTGTTTTGACGACTTATGTCTTGAATTCTACTTTCTTCTATCTATTAAATAGCCAATGAATAAAACAAAAGAAAATCTTACCAGATATTTATTCGTTTCACTGACTATTGAATGTTGCTCATTGATCCTTATGATCGAAGATAAATCTAATATAAAAAGTATTTTAAAAAGTCGATATTTATCAATTCACGCTGCTTTATATTGGGTTGTAATATAAGTTTTGAGAATATTTTTCTGTTCAATCAAAAATTTATTTTACGCCAAAGGTATGCATTATCAACCAACAGCATAATCACCATTAGTTTCGACAACCTTCGTCCATCTTGCTGACAATTGTTCAATCCAATATTTTTAGAAACTAGTCGGTTGTCATTAGAAAAAGAAGCGGACGTCGAATTGAATCTCATGAAAGTTTTCGTATTGTTGATCGTGCAAATCGTTTCGAAGAAATGACCACAAATGATAATTTGATGATGCAAGATTTAGGGAGTACGGTACATACTCAAGAACTTCCCATCCTAGTTGTCTAATTTTATTTCAAGTCAACTTTGCAACATATAGTCTTGCATTGTCATGCAGCAGAACGACATTGTTCCGATTTGCGAAGGCCAATCGCTTTTGAAGTAGAGTCTTATGTAAGCACTGCAACTGTTGAGAGTAAACGTCGGCGGTAATCGTTGGATTGGTATCTAAGAGCTCGAAATAGTTGACATCCTTCATATCCAACCAAGTGTAGAACATTATCTTTTTTGAGTGTAAATCTGCTTTTGCGTCGGGTCATGCTTTCCAACTAGAATCGAGCCACCGCTTTCTAGATCGAAAGTTGACGTAACAAACCCATTTTTCATCTTCATCAATAATTTATTTCAAAAATGGATCATGGTTCTGTCAGGATAACAACGAACCACAAATCAATACTCATTAAGCCAAGTTGTTTATGGACAGTTGCCGTGAAATCCAGTTTCCGTACCTATGGACGTTGTCTAAAGCGTGAAAGATGATGATTCACTGTCATAGAATAATAATTGAGCTGCGCGACCTATTCACGCGGGTTGTTAGACATTGACTACCATGGAGTCAAGTCTCCAACGATAGCACATTGAATCGTCGGTGGCTTCCTTGCCGTATGCAGCCGAAATATTCCTTGTTGCTGTCACTGCCGTTCACCATCGATCAAACTCGTACAGCGTACAACGACGAAAATGAATTTTTTGTTCCTCCATTGTATTTACAACCAGTAAACACTGTCTTTTTTTATTTATATTCTCTCCAGTCAACAAACTTGATATTAATCTTTTCCTTGGTATTATATAATTCAATGCATGACATGATGGAATATCAGAAAAAAAATGAAGTTATTTTAGCAGAAATATTCTAAATTCTCAGAACTTACGTTACAAGCCACTATACGCACCACGAAATTGTATACACGTGCTGACATTTTCCAGTGTTTTGTTTCTCAAAAACAAAGAATTCTGATGTCCATGAACTATATCAAAAATTTTCCAATTGAAGTAATATTCACTGATTATAAGTCCTATTGTAATATTCCTTCTTGAATCCTTTCATCATTTCAACTTTTTTATTCTCACACGCCACACCAGCAAAACTCGACTTCGATAAGAATCAAATTGGTGATCAAGAAGAAAAACATCTTGCCAAAGCTCTCGAAAAAAACAAGTAATACTCTTCAATACAAGTACTAACCACATTAAGCCTGTATAAGAATAAAATCTGTGCTGAAGTAAGATAATATCGACCCTATGCTCTACAACAATGCCAAATTCAGTCTTCTTACTTTTGGAGTGTGGATATGAGTGTGAGTGTGATCAAGAGTGAAGAGAAGACTCACACCCTTCATAAAAAGATTATCCCGTCCATCAAAATGATTAGGGTTAAGAGCTCAACAAAAGATTTAAAGTTCAGTAGAATCGAAGATCAACTTTGTTCGATGTAGTTGAAACTCCGGAAATATCCTAATAGATATAAAATAAAAAAAAAAAAGGTAATAGTTTGATAATGTGAACAAATAAAAATACTGTCGTGATCTAGTTCTTTTTTGCTATAACAATTTTTTTTGCTTTGAGAAATAAAACATGTTTTAACAACAACACATGATACATTATCATTTGAAAAATGGAAATTTAATACGAGTTTTTTTCTCCCTAGAATTTCCTATTTACATCATCATTATGATAAATAGCACAAGCTTTATGCTATTTCGCTTTCAGTTGAGATTGTAAAAAAGATAGCAGAACGTCTAGTCAAAATAAAGTACAACTTTTTGTTTTGTTCAGTGGATTAGAAAAACTCTCATGAAGATTTGTTAGTATTATCAATAGTTTGTCTTAAGTCGAAAAGTACACAAGTTAGTTTGTCTGTGAGAAATAGACATTAATAGAAATAAACATTCAAACGATCTATTACAATGACAGTTCATCGTACATTGATTAATCTTTTGATTTATTTATGTTATTTGTCAACATTTTCCAACTCTTATGTACTACTTTATCATACGGAAAATTTACCGTCAGTACAATACTACGATTGTATTTATTATAAACAACCACAATATGATCATAATAATCAAGGGGTAAAATACTGTCGTCAATTAAACGAAAGTAAACCATTACAACGTGATTTCAATGAATTTTGTCATAATGGTGGTCAATTATGGTCATTTGAAAAATTATCACGCCTTAATGTATCGGTATTAAATGTTTTGCAATGGAGTTCAAGTGTAGAACAAACTGATCGTTATTCGAAATATCTATTCAACAAATCATCTAATATGAAAGATGATTATATATGTAACTGTACAACTTCATCTACATTTGGGAAATTTTGTGAATATGAATTTTATGGTGACATCACTTCTTTCTCTGACGCAATTGCAAAACAGTTTAAACCACTTGGCAATTTCTTTATCAGCAGTAGCACGATTCGTGTTGGTAGTCAACTTCATGATAATCGACCATGTTATATAACATGGACATGTGATTCTGGATTGATGTGTTTGGATTGGAGACATATTTGTGATGATAAAAATGACAATGTCGATGATCGTTGTAATTTGATCTTTTTGATTGTATTTTATAGGTAAACAACAATGTATGGATGGTTTAGATGAAGATTATTGTGAAACTTTAGAATTTAACGAATGTAAAAATGATGAATATCGATGTGAAAATGGAATGTGTATTCCAGATGAATATTGGTTAGATGGGGATTTTGATTGTATGGATTGGACAGATGAGTCGGACACTATTATTGAGTCAGGTATCGGCTGTTTTAATTCACCTTCATTCATTTGTGATGAACATTTCTGTCCTTACAATCAATGGTCATGTGGTGATGGTAAACTTTTACTTTCATTTAATATGAACTCAGTAGTTCATCAATAATCTTTCATAGGTCAGTGTGTTGCTGATTCAACTGATCGACACACAGGTGTTCGATTTGCTAGATTAGTATTTTATCAAAACATGAGAGATATTAACTACATGTGTGAAGCAGTTATACGAGATTCAAAATCATGGTGGACCATTGATAAAGGATATTGTTTACCTTATTCAATTGCCTATCAAACGTCGGGCTTAGACTCAACAGCTAGTTGGAATAAATGCACATTCGCTATGAAATGTGCATTGAGTAATGGTCTTGACCAAGACTGTACATGCAAAAATGCCGTTGCGTGCCGTTCAGTAGGTATTGATTCATGTGAATATTTGTATCTTTTTTATCCAGGATTAGGTTCACTCCTTGCTCCGTATATTAATATGATCTATGAACGTGATCGAGATTGGACAAACAAGATACCAGACAGAGTTCTATACAATGGACGAGTGAAATGTATTGGTTACCAGATGACTACGATTGGCGGTTGGTGGTGGTCAACAGACGAAACATTTTTGTTCTATTCCTATCGACTATCCGAATATCGTATGTGTGATATGGTATATGGAATTGTACACAATCGAAGTCATACAGCTCCGCATTATGATGAGAATTGTTGGAATAATTCTAAAACATTTAACAATAATCCCTATCAAGTTTTATTTCTCTGTTATTCAAGATGTATATAAAGTATCGAGTAAGAGATGGAATCATTGATTGTGTTAAAAATGACGAAGTGCAGTCTATCAATAACTCATGTCCAGAAATTCAACGTCATCGTTTCCAATGTTCATCGTCTGAACTAACATGTTTATTAGTCGGTGCATTGGGAACTTGGGGAAATGATTGTTCCAACGGACGAGATGAATTCGATAGCCAAACTGACAGTGTTGTATCAAAAACTATAGGCTGTTGGAAAAAGACTGAGGCAGGATGTGCTTTTGCTAGAAAGTATATTAAAACTTCATCAGAGAATAATACAAACAAAATCAGCAGTGTTAATAATTCTATTCTCAACTATGATTCACCAACAATAATTTCATTTCGATCATATTGTAATTCATTTTTCGACACACAGTCAGCATTTGATGAATCAACAGAGTTATGTGAAAAATGGATCTGTTTGAGTGATCAATATCAATGTTTATCCGGACAATGTATCTCTCAAAGTTGGGTTTGTGATGGTTAGTTTATTTGGTTGATTGCTTCGATTGTTGGATTTATTTTTTGTTCTTCTCTTTTTTCATAGGTGAATGGGATTGTAGTGATGGATCAGATGAGCAACGTCTTTTTATTATGAATCATCTCAGTGAACATAATTCCAAATTGATAAATTTAACCAAACTAAAAGAACAATGTCAACAACAATATCGTTTAGATAATACTCCATTTTTTGATATTTGTAATATTTCATTTGAATATCCATGTTTTCGAACTGGTATTGATGATCCATTAAATATTAAACTTAATCATCCATGCATCAATTTAACACAAATTGGAGATGGAAAAACAGACTGCTTGACTGCTCTTGATGAAAGAAATCGATTACAATGTACAAGTCATGGTATGTTGGGTTTTCATTTTCAATTCAATGATAGTTTTTGTATACGATATACTGATATGTGCAATGATCACAATCCATGAACACCAGGTGTCAATCTTGCTTATGATACAGTATGTTTTTACCGGAGAAAGGTGTTTAAGGACGGTAAAATTGACAACTGCGATGGTTTAAAAGATGTCATGTGTTTAAATGGTGTTTGTATGAAAGCTGCTAGATGCAATGGTAAAATCGAATGTCTTCACGGTGAGGATGAGTATCGATGTATACCACAACATCTATCACCAATAAAGTACAGATTGTATAAGAGGGTGCATCTCTTACCATTAAGACTGCAGAATTATCCGGCAATAACCGAAATATTGCAAACGAATCATTCTTCTCTTTACAACAGCACAGATTTAGATTTATTATTCATTGACAATGAAAGAAATAATCTATTGGACTTTACAATGAACTTGAAATCAGATGATAATATTACAAGAGTATTTGAAAGACATTATTCTCAAGTTAAATCAGTTTATGAACGTGTTCATGATTTACTTTCAAATGATATAATAAAATTTGAAAGAGATTATCTTCCATTTATTTGTAATCGTGGTATTGCAATTAAATATTATACAGGTCATACAGTGTGTTTTTGTCCATCAAGTTACTATGGATTCCAATGTGAATTTTATAGTGATCGAATCACAGTTGCCACACATCTTGATTTGCATAATTCTCGTCTATTGATCAGTGAAATAAATGTGATCAAAGTCTTGACAACATTTTTATTTGAAGATCAAATTATTGATTATTATGAATTTCATATTGATCCACAAACACAAATTAATGAAAATTATATTAAACAAGGAATTTATTTTTTGTATCCTCGATTAAAAGAATTTCTTCATATGAAAAAGACAAATCGAAGTGATACTCAGTTGTACAGTGTTAGATTTGAAGCATTTAATTTAGATTTAAATGAAAAAATTCAAATCATTGGAATTTGGAAATATCAAATCTATTTCGATAATCTTCCAGTATTTCGTTTATCAAAAATCTTACGTTTTCCATCACAAGTCTCCTCATTTATTAATGATCCTTGTTTAAATAATTCATGTAGTAAAAATGGACTCTGTCAAGAAGTTTTAAACTCAAATCATTCATCGTACTTTTGCTTTTGTAAAAGTGGTTATTATGGTATTTACTGTGAACATTACGATGAAGTATGTAGTCACTATTGTGCACCAAAATCACTTTGTAAACCAAAATATCGCGGCATTTTAACAGGAAATCAACAACATCCATTGTGTTTGTGTCCAGTGTCAACATTTGGTAATAGATGTTATTTTAAAAATGAAAATTGTAAAAAAAATCCATGCTTAAATGGAGGAAGTTGTATTGTGACATACAATATGACTGATATAAATGAGTATATTTGTATTTGTACGAGTTTATTTCAAGGAAATCAATGTCAATTATCGAAAGGAATAGTGAATATTACATTTGCTTTGTCGTCAGGCACTGTATTACAAACAACTGATGTTGTTGCTACAACAGTTTTATATAGCGATTATAAAGTCGAGACATTGGATTTTATTGTTCGTCATCAACAAGTTTATATTGGTTTGCCTTTAGGTGTAAAACTAATCTATAGTCATAAACTTGCTACATATGCGCCAACAACTGCTGTTTTGAAAGTTTATGGACCAAATTATCATCACCAGGAGCCAAAATATTATTTGTTATATTTTCATCCTGATCAAAAAGAAATTCATATTAGATTTGATCTAACATTAGAAAACTATTGTCCGTTCGTTCGAACATTAAGGCATTTAGTTCAGACAACTAAAAAAACAGGTAAGCTAAGATTCTTTAGTAGTGACATCATGTTGAGCGAAGTGAAACTTGTACACATTCTCAGCTGATGAAAGTTTGTCAAAATTGTTTTAATCCTTTTCTGCAAGTTATTTTAACTCAAACTGAAAATAATTAACCATTTTACTTGTATTGTTATTTCCAAATTTTTTCATCGATCATCAACATGTTAAAAGAATGAATTTATTTTTGTAGAATATGCTGAGAGTTCCACATTTAATTCTACAACGTCTGTTTTCTTCTATCATGTTATTTGTCAAGCTAAACGAAATACTAACACAAGTTTGACTTGTTTTCGTGATTGGAATTATTTGTGTATTTGTGAAGTTAATCATTATCGTGCTGAGTGTTTTCAATATAATCGTTCAATAGATCAATGTTCATTGTGTTTATCTAATGGTTATTGTCTCAAGGGTGAATTAGATGATAAATCTGATTTTCTATGTCCTTGTCGGGAGCGTCTCATTTCAGGTACTTTGTTTATTTCTTATTATAGGCGCCTATTAACGAAAATGAAGAACAATGTTTTTTAATGAAAAGGTTAGCGAAAATAGACAGCGGTTTATTCATTTATTTTAAAAATTGTTTTGTAATATGAATCTTTTTTGTAATCGAACATTTATTTGAATAATGCTCTTTCTGNGGCTAGTACAACTGTCTGTAATAAACAATTTACGATTACCATCATTTACTTTTTTCAACCACCAAGTCATGTATTTTTCCAAAGTTGGTGTATTAATGAATGCTTTTGGAGTAAAAAAAACTTTTACATTCGGTGAATAATGTTTTTCTTCTGAAGAAAAAACTTTTCCTGTGCCTCAAAACAATAGCACAGGTTCTACTCGATGATTTCCTTCTGGAAATACACATAAAATAATAGTAGCAAAACGCTTATTTTCAAGACGTCCTTCGATTTCATTTCTTGTGTTACTGTCATTTATAGAACGTCTCGATTGATCTCCCCAGAGACTCAATGGTGATTCATCCATATTACAGATATCAGATTCCACAAAGCAATCCATAGAACCTCTTTTTGGGCCCCGTTGACTACATTGTCGTAGATAAGAATGACATTTGTTAATAGAAATATGGGCCTCTGAAAGAGAAATCTTTTGCTTTCGAACGGGTTTTTGTAACGATAAACGATGTCGTTTTAAAAATCTTGTAAACCATTTATTTGATGGTTCGTTGGTTTCAAGTTCACTATAAATTCTGTAACCTTCTCTAACCATTCCTTTGAATGTCACTTTTTCTTTACTTACGTTTATATCAGTTTGATTCAAGCTACGTTTCGATCTATACCATTTGATCAGATGATCATCCAAAGCAATATCGCTTAACTTAGCACCAGCTCCATCTAAACGTTTACGTTTTTTTCCTTTTCCACCTTGATCTTTTGCCAATTTGATGAATTTATTTTCGTTATTTTTCCAATCAAGAATCATTTTTCGTGTACATTTGTATCGTAATTCAAGTGCATGAAGTGACACGCCTTTATTCATTTCAGAAATGATTTTTAATTTCTCTTTTACACTCGATTGTCGTCGTTTTTGATGCACTGAGATGGTTGTAGCATCTTTATTTGAAGATGAAACTTGAGTAGAAGGATTGATGTTATTGCCATTGGTAGAAAATGATTGAACGTCGGTGATTGGTATTATAATATTATTTGCTGTAGTAGTTGAACTTTCAATTTCATCTTCACTAGAATTATTGTCATGTTCGAGATTGAGTCGAATAAAATTATCATTGATATAATTTGTATTATTAACTTCAATATCAGAATCAACTGACATGCTGTCTGAATCAGACTTTTGATCGACGTTGTCATCATCGAAAGATAATGGTAGCAGATGAGAATTCGTAATGAGATGACCATCCATAATATGTTGTATATGTAGCTTTATTGGAAAAAACGATAGAAGTTTTACTTTTTTCGTGACGTAAAGAATTGTAAATGATTGAAGAATGACTATTATAACACGGTATTCTCTTTTTTTTTCTATATTATACATACGTGCGTCTGCTAGAGAATAGACACATATACTCATACATTGGTAATAGTTGTGTCAGTTAATCGATGACCGATATAGATATATATCAGCGAGAGAAAGGAAACAAAAAAATTACTATTTACCAGCATAAAAACAAACATTCCAAGATCTATACAATGGGGAAAAATACAAAAATTTTGAAAAAATAAATGCGAAAACCTCGGATTTAAATCCGAGTGTTATGTGTACTTCAAAAAGTGAAAAGGTATATTCACTGTGTTTTTATCACTAAATTGCAAGGAGAAAANGTGCTACAATTCATGAATCTTTTTATATTTATCTCTGTGAATCTGTCTATCTTATCTTGACTCCACGCTCCTTTGCATCAAAGAATAATTTCACAACTTTTAGGTATACATTTCAAAATATCATTAGTGGCTGAGCAAGCCACTGGAAATCAGAACGGATTATACCTAATGCGCTTGATACGTCATAAATATTTCGGAAATCGCCCACTATGGTCTCATTCGATCACATATCTTTCATAGGTATAGCCACATGTTGGAAACAGAAAAGCAGGCCTCAAGAAGTTCGATATAAATAGAGAAATGTAAACATAACAGAATTAGCTTTAACCATGGGTTTTCGATAATAGGAGGAAGCATCAGTAGCAGTATCTTTCTTTTGTCTATAAGTATCTATTTCCGAAAGATTTTCTGTCTCCTTATTGGGAATGCTCTGTACATATATTTCCCAAAGTGAAGTAATCATACCTGTTCGACCAATAACTCCAATCTTTTCCTTGGATTCAATTCGTAGATTAAGATTTTTCAGTACAGGATTGAGTTCTGGTCGATAGCGAAAAGTGTAGTCTTTAAATTCAATAATACCACGAGAAGGCCAATCATCTACTGTTTGAATGTGTACACTGTTTTCATTACTATTCCGATGACTTTCTGGCACTAGTTGACCATATTCTTGAATACGTTCTGCACTGGTCATGAAATTTTCAGCTTCGGTTGATTGTCGCATAGCCCATTGAAACAGACCTGTTAAAGTGATACTATAACTGACACTGAGTGCTGCTGTCGATGGATCGATTTGATGGCGCAACGCTACTGCAAGAATAGCAGTAACCAAAGTAAGTAAGGATACCATAAAATCGAGTCGTAGACCGAACCAACGTTCGCTGGCAAACAGAAGGAAGTAAGCTCGTGAATTGATATCGATTCTGTCCATGAACATATTTAAAAAATCACCTTGAGCACGAAACGCACGAATACTAGTGAGTCCATCTAATGAGGACGAGAACAATGCATAAATGGGACTACGCGTTACACTCTCGAGTCGTTTGAGTTGACGACTCGAACGCATGTAAAATCTACGGAACCACAAAATTGTGGGAACTAAAGGAATGAGAATTAAAAGCACCCATGGGTTGGTCATTCCAATGATTGCGACAGAACCGAGTGTCATTAGTAGATATTGCATAGTCTCAATTAAAGCCTCAGGTAACGATTCATCTAACACTTGTTGATCTTTGCTTGCTCGATTCAATATTCGTCCACTTGGATTACTTTCAAAGAAACGTAATGAAGTATACAAGATACCTTTGAGCATTCGATTGTGAAAATAGGTCGAACCACGCAACATGATATAGAAGATATAGCCGGCGCGTATTAATGCAACGATGAATGTAGCCAATGTAACTCCAAGATAGACGTAAGCATAAAATGATGATCGTTGTTCGATTTCATTTTTACCAGACCACAGAGCGAGCCAACTATTTGTAAAATCGTACAGAGCTTCATTACCCAGCATAAAAATTATCATAAGGAAAAAGCCAAACCAACGTAAAGGTGGTGAAGTAAACAGTTGTAGCCAAACACTCCAGTTAATTGTTCCATCAATTGATGTCTCACTCTTTATAATCGAATTCATATCAGTTGTAGCAGTTTTAGGTGTCCAATCTGTTTCTTTGTCGTTAGATGTATCTGTTTCTGATGCATCATTCAATGACTCAATTGTAGATCGTTGTTCAATATGTAATTCGTCGATGTGACCATTCGTCATAAGAATCATTTGATCTGTTTCAACTAAGAAATGTGTCTGATGTGTAACCAATATTCGAGTCTTTCCACTAAGAAGACTACGAGGACCAATGCATTGATCAAAAATTTTCTTTGCTACATTTGGATCAACAGCTGCAAGTGGGTCGTCGAGTAAATATAAGTCAGCATCAGCATAAAGAGCGCGAGCAAGCGATATTCGAGCTTTTTGTCCTCCACTCAAATTGATACCTTTATCACCAATCATCAATAAATCCCCTACTTTACCGAAATTTTGTAGATCGATATCAAGGCAACATGCTTTGATGACATTCTTGTAGCGTTGTTCATCCATTGGTTTGCCAAGAAGAATATTAGCTCGAATAGTGTCAGCAAATATCCATGACGATTGTGGAGCGTACGAAATAGAATCAACATATAGTCGTAGTTTACCACTAACAAGATTGATTTCACCGAGAATGGCAGCTAATAGGGTTGACTTGCCAGCACCGATAGCACCTTTCACTCCAACCAATTTACCGCTTCTGATTTTGAGATTGAGAGAAAACAAAGAAGATGTATCTTTCCAGGAAAATGATGCATTTTCCATTATGATTGCATGATCCCCGTTTTCGTTTTCCACTTTTTCACGTTTATTCAACAACGTGTCGAGTTGCATAAACTGATCGATCCTTCTTGCAGAAACACGAGCTTCGCTAAACTTTTCGATCGTGATCGGCATCAAAATTGTTAGTGGAATTCGAACCATAGCGAAGAAGGCTAGTGTGGCGAAAATATTTTCTGGAAGCAAAGTTTGACCCATTAGCCAACTGCCACCAAATGTAGCCAGAGAAACCAAAGGTAACGCTGCAAAGGCGAGAGCAGTATTAAGAGCTCTCAAGCAGCTAGATTTGAAAATGTGCGAAAGTTCACGTCGGCGTGTTTTACGTACTCGTTGTTCCATTGCTTTTTCCCAATTGTACATTTTGATAATTTGACATCCGCTGACAATTTCATTGACCGTTTGCACGCGCTTGTCTGTACATGTCATTGTGGCCGTTCGGTATCGACTGAATTGTCTACTGAAAATGAGCTGTATAGGCACTAATAAAATCAGTACTGTATAGCCAAATAATGTCGGTAAACCGATGTTCCACCAAACGAGACCAAACGTTGCAAGAGCTTCCAGAATTATGTGCACTGCAGCATGCGCGAAGATGCTTAATTCTTGAAATTTACCGGCATCATTTGCTACTAAATTAATTGTCTGTGCAGCAGTTGTCTTGTGAAGAGCTGCTGTATTGATGACCAACAAGTGCTTATAGATAGTAGATGATAATGTATTGCGAACGCGCATGCCTACGCGAGTATTTCGAAAGAAGATCTGCGGATGAAAAATGGCTTGTACGTTTGCAGAAATGCAAAGAGTAATAGCATATAGATAACCAGCATAAGAAGGTACTTTTGATGGATCTTTAATGTACAGAACAATTTGACGAATAAGCAATGGCTGTGCAATACGAGCCATAGTAAATGGAAAAACAAACAATATACTCATTAGAAAATCTTTATAAAATGTTCGCATGAATACATGCCATGTACCTTGCCATTTATAACTGTACTGGTTCACTCTATTCAACAGGAGTGAGCATTGGTCGTTCACAGAAAGATCGTTAAGATCGTCTTCAACAAGCGTGCGTTTATTACCCAAGAAGAGAATAGGCGTTACCCAAGATAGTAGTGGTATCTGTATCCATCGTGTCCATGATGATTTAGCCCAATCCAATCGACATGATTGTCGCTGTTTACCTAGAATGTATTTTTACAAAAATGATATCGTATTCTATTCTTCTGTTGAACTATATAGCTGTGTAGAAGTTTTATACCTATTTTGTCGTAAAATAGTTTATCTTCTTTTTTTCTTCTGCACCTGTAACAGAAGTTCTAATTTCAAGTAAATTATGTTTAAGTCTCTATTTTATTGACAACTTCATGAATGCTATAGAATGATGAACTTTTCTCGTAAGTGTCCGTCTGCTCTGAATTAACTGAAATGCATATTAACAGAGTGAACATTATTTGTCTTTAGTCAAGCGCAGAAATGGGGAAAATGCCGACTTTCGCTATTTTCTAATGTGACGACATAAGTCGAAATCGTTTGATTGATGCATTCGTAACCATTATCATATATTCATTCTCATTCCTCGCTTCTGTCTATTTTACAAATCTAATTCCTATTTCTCTAGATGTCATATATTACTTGACTGAAGATCTTCGAATCCTATGTCGGTAACTGAAAATCTCAAAGTCAATATCAATGTTAGTCATATAAGCTCCTCAAATGTAAAGATGACGATGAATCAAAGAGTGTTTATAAGAAACGAAATATCACAAAATAAAATACGAAGTCATGAAATTCTAGTGCAAAAATTTGAGTCGTAAATGAAATATTTGACGATAAAGAGTTCAAATGCCTCTGCTATGTTGCTTATTAAACGAGCTATTGTTCTCGAATGGCAAACAGCTCTAAGTTACTATATATAAAGCAAGTTGATGAAACTATCCAAAACCATCATTCTTTGCCTCAACACAAAATTTTCAGTATATTATCAATGAAAAAAATGCCAGATATTACAATGAATCCCAAGCAAATCTGGTTGATGAATTGGAAGCGAACACGTTAAATTCGTCATCAGTACATTCTTTTAATCATACTTACTTTCAATTGGCGAAGATGTTTTAGATGGATCTAAGGACTCTGTATTCTGCAAGTCCACTCGTGTTTCTGGAGAAATTCGTGATGCAGAAAAATTATGAATACGCCGTTCGGCTGCTGCGACGACATGCGTTACTTGTCTTCCTACCATCGCTTGCTTACTGTCAATTGTTGAGAGTGAAGTGAGTGTAAAAATCAATTTATGATATCTTCTTTTATTGTGAAAAACTTTATTACAGGCAATTGCTTGTTTTATTGTCATTTAATTCTGAATAATCATAGCCGTTCCTTATCTAACGGCCAGAACACCTTGGTGAATTTAGTGACTTTGCTTATTTCAAACAATAAAGTATACCATTTTGTATAGAAAATCGAGGCACATCAAGCAAAAATGTAAAATATCCATCTTTTATCAAGCCAATATGGGTCATAACAATGACATATTAGTGAAAAACGTGTCATGCTATTGGAGTAGGATGTTTCCTTCATCACACTTGAGAAGATCAAAATATTACTCATCGCTTTATTTTTTTGAAGTAGCGGCCATTCTGCTCTTAGCTCCATACACTTGACATTTTTTTCCATCAACTGACCTCATGATTAAAACGTTCACTTCTTGCCTACCTGCAGCAGCTGGTGACTTTCTGTCTTTAATACTATGTTGCTGTGCGTAGGCAAAAAGTGATATCGAATATCCTAGGGTTCGGAATTCGAGCTCGCCTCATGCACAGCTGTTTGTGCTAGTAAAAGTCAATACCAGCCTGTATTATCTTTCAAAAACTTTACTCATAATTATGAGGGCGTGGGTGGGTATGGGTATGGATGTGTGTGTGGATGTGGGCGTAAGCCAAAAGAAGGCTTATACCCTTAATTTTCTATATAGCCCAACAAAATAAGATTGACTATTGACTTTGATGATCATTTCTAGATGACATGTATCATATTGAAACTCGTATATTTGTCCGGACGAGCTCTCTGAATGTCAGTGTGATATATTTAACCATACAAGCGGATTCTATTGTGTAGCACGAAAGCTTTTTTCCAACGGTTATAATAGAGTTAAATCTTGTCTTGTGGAACAATGTTTTGAAAAACAAAAAACAAGTTTAAATCAAAATCTGTCAAAAGTATCTGACGGATAGTTATTAAACGAGAATTGTGCAAGAAATAGTTCCTTTTGCATCATAAACTTAACGGCAACCTTCTGTAGATAATTGATAAAGTTCAAATCATGTCCCGAGTAAATATTGTGCGTTAGTTCATGACATGTGACGATAAAATAGAAATTGACAATTGTGGGTAGAATGGTATTCGACGATGTAAGTGTTTGAAGATAGGCTTTGAGATCATCGGCGAAGACTTGTTCGAAATAACGAAGATTGAAGAAAAATGCACCGTTGCAATTGAGTGCCATATGATCTGAAGACGAAAGAGAACAATATAGATAAGACAGATCGATACACTTACTTCCGTCGATGTCTCGAAACATATGTATGGACTCAATGGGAAATTGAAAAGCATGAATGATAACACCATTGATTATCCATGTGAGTTGTTTTGCTTCAACGATCATTTTCGTTGTCACGGTCACGTTTTGCTCAACAAAAAGTAATATCGGGAGATTAACATCTTCAAGAAGCGTCATATTTAGGCATGCATCAAACCCAAACCGTTTGGGTTTGGGTATTTAGTATGAGTTTCTGTTTCACTTTTGCTACATCAACTCACTCAACTACTGGTCTTTAAATATAATGTCATTTATGTCAAGTATCTTCTCTATATTTAGCTATTTATTCCATATAGATATGAACAAAAGCATATTTCTATGCTTCACGTTGTTAAACGGTGAAATAAAGTCATTCTCAATTCCGAGAAGATAGCTTGAAAAGTGGATATTTTTGATTGGCTTGCCCACGACCTGTTTGGTGGAGAATCAAAATCACATTTATCAACTGGAGAAGCGACTGTTCGATGTTCTGTCGTAGTCAATTATTGGTTTTCAGTAGGAGCAATCCGAAATCAAGCCTTATTTTCCTAGAAATTACATTGATAGATCAAGAGCTGACAGAAATTCGCGTTTTGAAGAGGTAGCTTCTATATGGTAGTTCGCCATTCGGTGACTCACTGACTACGCAGCAGTGTTAGATATTCAGGAAATCGGGGATGCCGAAGAAGTGCAGAGAGATGTAGGAGATACCGCATCTACTTTAGATATCGAGTCTCGTCGAGAGATACCCAATCTCCTGTAGAGATGCACTTAGAGATGTAGCGTCTCTACAGAAGCCTCGCATCTCCATACTTCTTCACAGAAGGATGCGGCATCTCCCAGCATCTCCCGAAAAATTTTGTTTCAATTTTGACCAAGGACCCAAGTGGGAGATACTGCATCTCCAAACACATCTTCCCAGAAGACTCGGCATCTCTAAACATGTCTACAGCGATGACAATGGATGAAACACGAGCACTCACAGGCACACAGCCAAATCTCACGAGTGTGGGTGAGGATGGAAACGCAAACACATACGGAAACACATACGGAAACACATACAGCTACATCTCTTTGGTCTGGGTGTGGGAGAAAAGATGAACCCATGTGAGGTCATTTATAATGTAATCGTCTATTAGTAGATGCTTTTGCATCTCTCGCATCTTCCTACACTTCTTCAGCATCCTTGATTTTCTGGATATGTGACGCCCCTCTGACTATGTGACTGACATACGCAAAAGCCCTTGTGACTACTATCTGGTTAGTCAACTTGCGCGGCGAGTTTAAGTGATTAAGCGGAAGGAACTTTGAGACAGGCCAACTTTCTCTCCGGATTTATAGTTAGTAATAGTTGTATCAAAAACATCGGAGCTTCTAAACTATCTTCATATAGTATCCTATATTGCAAAGCAATTGAGAGGCAGGTTATTCTTCATCATCTCCTACTTCTAGGGTAGTTTGAGACGATGGTTTGAATCATAGCTATATTGCCCTAAAAATACTTTAGTGGGATAATACGCGAGTAGAAATGAAACTTCGTGTTATAAGCTGCATTTTCTTCAGATGTAGTCATAAGGATTTTTGGGTGTGGGTGTGGGTGTGGGTGTGGGTGAGTGTAAGGTGTGGGTGTGGGGGAGGGTAAGGTGTGGGTGTGGGTGAGGGTAAGGTGTGGGGGTNTGTCGAGTTCCAGCGTTTCTAAATATTAATTTTTTTTTCGGATGTATGCTGCGATTCAAATTTTCAGTTATTTACTTCACTGGATGGAGATTATCACAGTCAACTCTAAAAATTTCTCATTCGATTTTCTTCTATTTCCTTTTATTGAGAAACTGCAAATAACTGTGTTCAAGACCGAATCTGAATGCGAAAAAGAACGTTCTCCTTTAGAGGATTCATAGTTAGCAATTTGTTCGTCTTCGTAAATCATCGTAGTTGTTTTTTCATAAAGCGATGATGAACGATGCCATGCTGAGGAGTGAATGTATAATGATCTTAAACATTATACAGTAGAGCATGCAATTAGAAACAAACTTAAAAATGAATCAAACCTAAAATAATAAGTTTGAGCTATTGTGATAGCCTCGGTACCAACCAGCATGGTAAAATCCAACTTTTCCTATCCTGGTCTGGTAGAAATATCCTCCCATGTACTTTGACATTCACCAAAAAATTTTCCTGTCGTACAAATGATACTCATGACAGCTATTTTAATCAAGTTAGAAACGAACCAAATAGCAAAATGCATCAACATTGGAGACGGTTTGCATTTAACATGGACTACCGAAAATTTGTCGAAAAATTAGCCTTTAAAACTCTTTGATAAGACGGGGCGGGGCGACTTTTTAGCTCCTCTGTCCATCTCTGTAATATCTATCATTATCCTATTCATTTAACGTTGAACATTGTTTTTAAGTCTCACAGTTTGATTCTTGTTTTGTCTCCCATTTCCTGATTTTAATTTAGTATATCGATAGTTCGAGTAACATCATAGTGTTGCCATGGGAATCCTATGTTTTTCATCGAACGACACTTTAGTTGAAAATGATTTTGGCGACAAATTTTTGTCGACCAAATATTTCGTCAAAACTCAATTATTTTCTTCTTGAGTATGGGTCTGCAAGCAGAGAAGAATGAAACCCACACCACACCACACCCATGCCAACTTTTATTGGGATCTTCTTACGATTCTCTCAAATTTCTCTCTAGGTAGCCTTCTGTTTCTGTTCCAATTCTTTTAGAATTCATTTCACACTATTCCAGATTTCTGTTCAGATTCTCCTAGGATCTGTCTCAGATTTTCTTAGGATTCGCGTAGCATTGTATCAGCATCCGCCTGAGATTGTGCTAATGTCTTCTGAAGTTTTTATTAGTATCTAACGGACATGATATCAAGAAAAGCATGACATTCTTTTAAAATCCTCTATCGGTTCAGTCTTTGGAGATCCAAGTCAAATAACTTACTGTTGTCTTCCGGAAATTAGCCTCATAAATCCTCACAGGATCCCTCGGTCATTCAAAATGGATTCATTGAAAATCGAAAAGTATGTCTCACATAAGTATGCTAAATGCGCTTTGCAGATTATAAGGTACTGTTTGATATATACCGAGAATCTCCTTAGCCGAGGTATATATAAAACTTGGAAGTCTCTCAAGAAAGAGTAAGTTGTTTTGAATGCTTCACTTTCAGGTAGGCACACGTTTTTAGTTCGTGAAACATGGATTCCGAGTCTTCAACTTTGCAAATGCTCATCATGTGAGTACTACAATTTTTCTAACTCGTTAGAATCTTCTCCTATGACTGAGTGGTTTAAAAAATTTGTTCTACGAGATGTGGATGTCCTTGAAAAGTATTCGCAAAAGCTTTTGTATCAAGAGTTTTGCATAGAACTCACATTTGTTCGATAACAAGTTTTTGTGAAAAATCTTCGTTCCTCTCAAAGCACTGAAAACCAACAAGAAATATGTCTTGTCTTTATCTTCTTTGATCAAAGCCAACAATTAGTCAAGTTTTTGCGAGACGAAACCCAGAACGAAAAAAAAAAGCATAAAGACTTGCATAATCGTTTCCATTTTTGAAAACGATATTTTATTATCAGTTTTGTATGCATCTAGTAGGAAGAGTCTTATGTCTTTTCTTTTGGTGTTCATAAAAAAAAGAACAAATTTTGCAAAGAAATTCTCTTCGAAGGTCAAAATAGCATTGATTGTAAACCTTTCCCTTACGAGAAGGATCTGTTTGACAACAGCGATGACGATTCCTTTTCTTTCTTTTGTTCATTGTCGTGATTTCCAATATTCCAGAGAATGTCCCAATGGACATAGAACCAAATGACTGTTGCTGGAGACCATGGGGAAGAGAGTTGATTAGATCAATTGAATTTACTAGCCGACGTGCCGATCGACAAAGAGACAGACAGTCTTATTATTTGTGATTATCAGAATCGACGACTCGTACGATGGTCTCGTCATAGTGGCACAACTCAAGGAGAGATCTTCCTCGACACTATCAAATGTTAGGAATTGGCCATGGATGATCAGAGATATCTTCACATCTCTGACACCGAAGAACATGAAATGAGAAGATCCAAAATAAATTCAAAAGAAAGCAAGAATGAAACTCTCGTGGCTGGTGTTAATGGAGGTGATGATGATTTCAATCAGAACAAGTTTCCGAACATATCTAGCTATAGATCGACAACAGGCTGTCTACGTGTCAGACAACTAGAATTATGGTGTGATGAAATGCAACGAAGGTGAACTGAAGGAATTATCGTCGCTAGAGATCACAATGAAGGGAATGCTCTAACATAATTGTCGCAGCCTCGCTGGATACATTTGGTACTGTCTATGTGGCACACGTCTGCAATCGTCACGTAATGCATTGGCCTGAAGGAGCGCAACAAGACACCCATTCTAGGTGGAAATGGTCAAGGATAATGAGCAAATCAGTTCTACGACCCTGCAGCTTTGTTCTTCGACCGATATGGTCATCTTTATGTAGTCGATTTCGAGAATGATAGTGTTCAGTGGTTTTCAATCGAATATACTCAAAACGGTGATTAATTTTATTTTCGCTCTCTTCCTCTCTGAAATCATGAAGCTCATGCACACATAGGACAGACTCAAGCGGTCCACATCAAATGTGTCGAAGAGTTTGGTGCAGGCCTGATCGTGTGCCACAGTTACTAAGACATTTCATAACCGAGTTCTTATGGCAGGTGCGGGGTTAGGTGAAGTGGATAAGGATATGAGTGCGACTGCAAATGTGGATGCTGCTACCGTTCTTCTCTTTGTCCATACCCTCACCAGTCAAGTACATCAAGGTTGGGTGTGCATGTGAGTACACCTACATTTTTCGTGAACAAGAATTCAATTGAAAGTACTTGCATGTTACCAAACTGAGCATGACAATGCATATGACAAGTGCACAAATGACATCAAATGATAAATATGATTTGAGTGAAGAAGAAGATGAGTATAGTAGCCATGACTCATTGGTCAATGCTAATTTATTACAAGTGTCCGATTTAAATATCCACTGAATGTTCGATTTATTCACGCTTGTTTGATGCAATTCTTTCGTCAATGATGCGAACAAGAATCGGCACGTTCAGTGTGAACTATGCCAATCGATTCCTTTTCTCGTGATATTCACTGATATCAACAAATATTACAAGCACTTCAAAGAAAATACGACAGAAAAGGCAGGTTCACTTTTGTATTAACGAGCTCGTAAACATCCCATATGTTCGAATTATTCTGATCGTTTCAAACCGATCAGGTATAATACCTGATTCGCTTGTTCATAAACATAAATAATTTCATTTGATTTACGTGTATTGTCGTGATCAAGATGCAATGCAACAAGTAGCCTACTTCCTGTAATTGATCACCTTGATCGACTGAGAATTGAATTCTCTTGAGTCAGAAGTCCTATACTTCTTCGTAGTTTAGACGGTATTTAAAGCAGCACGAAGAACAGGGTATTGTTCCAAATTTCATTTTGTACCTGAAGCGCATTTTTTACATCAGAGCAAAGACTCACTCATATTGAAACAAAAATTCTGAATGAATGTTGAATTTTGTGATGCACTTATCTAGTTTCAATCATGGATGATGAAACAGAAGCACCACCACATTGGATTTCGGAGTGTGCTTCAAACTAGTTAGACGCCTATCCGAGCCTTGTTCTCTCCGTCTGTTGACGTTGTTTTGGTTAAAAAATGTGAAATTATCTCAAATGGTAACTCAATCTTTTCGATTGTCGTCTCATTTTCCTATCCACATTCATTATTCATGTGAAGATTTCTCATTCAATATTCAACGTAGGCAGCAGGGTAAATACATTCCACCTAGATTATAATCAAACAATTGTTAATCCATGGCACTAATACGCACGATCAAATTCCTGTTTATATGCCATAACTACACATTATTTCTTTAGAAACAAGATAGTTCTAACATTCTAAATGTTTGATATCTTAAATAACAAAAGAATGATGTCAACATGAACATCTACAGATAAATATAGCGAGTGAGGAACTTTTTGGATCAAAACAATTACCAATGATATTTTGCTATTAAAACTACATATTCTTTCACGATCGTATTAAATTAGGTTAATGTTACTAGGCGCATCGAAGTAGGCAACCTCTCCCTGTTGTAACATAAGAATGCGGTCACTATTGACTACTGTATTTAATCGATGTGCAATCGTTAATATGGTGCGATCACGAAACTTGTCAGCAATCACTTCTTGAATCATTCTATCAGTGGCATGGTCAACGTTTGCTGTAGCCTCATCAATCAGCAATATGTGACTTCTCTTCAGAATTGCTCGAGCTACACAAATCAGTTGGCGTTCACCAGCACTCAAATTAGTACCCGATTCAGCTACCAACAGATGAAGTGCATCGGGATGGTTGCACACCAATTGTTTAAGTTGAACAGCTTCAAGTGCTGTAAGACACTCTTCATCTGAGAATTGTTCGAATGGATCAATATTGTATCGAAGAGTACCACAAAAGAGTATAGGTACTTGTGGAATAACACTTAGATGAGAACGAAGATGATCAAGTGAAATACGTCCAATATCGATGTCATCGATAAGAATGGTTCCGTTGATTGCTGACTGATCGACAAGTCGAAAAAGAGCTTGAAGAAGTGATGACTTTCCGGCACCTAGACGAAAAACAAATACTGATTAACGAATGTCTCCAAGATAATAATCGCAACGATCCTTTGGGAGTACATTATCAATCGTCAATGCACATAGTAAAATACTCTTCATAAAATGCTCCTTTCTTAAAATGCAGCTCCTCACCCACGAATCGCTTCAATTAAGCGTTCGAAATTAATTACTGATAGAATTAGTCTCATGTGACATGTACCTGCTATGTAAACCTTGATTGCTGCTTTAGTGCTAATTACTCACTTTTCACGCATTCTATGATACCATAATGCAATGTTTCCAAAATAGAACGTTTTTTATTGCTCGACAACACTTTCCTAGTCCTAGAAAATGATACTAAAACATAGTAAAAGACACTAGACCAGGATTGTTCGTATGCATATTAACAATTGAGTACTATCAGCTCCTGTACTGTTAGAAGTATAGGAAGTACATGAGTCGTTCTTCATGTGAAACGATCACAATTTGAAAAGAAAGATTTCGTGGAATGAACCTTGTTAAACTTGATAGTTTCAATTAGACGAACGGAGTAATCACTTAACTCTTTTCAAAAATACACAGTGCAATGCTTAGACATGTCTTCTTGTGAAAAGAATTCTTAGGAGGCTCACATAAATTTTTCAGGTTACACAATTTCTATATAAAGTATTCGTTACTTCCTTGAATTTTTATCAAGGCTGCGCTGTAGCGCGTACTATTCTATTTTGAAATGTAGCTTTCATAGACGATGAGCTTTGCATCAAACAGCAATTTCACAACTTTTAGGTATACATTTTGATATATCAACAGTTGCAGAGAAATCGCCAGAAAATCAGAACGGAATATTCCTAATGAACTTGATATGGCTGAAAATTATCTGTCCATTTTCGACCGATTTCCTGTCTCCCCATTAGGAATGCTCTTCAAGTATATTTCCAAAAATGAAGTAATCATACCTGTCCGACCAATAACTCCAATCTTTTCTTTGGACTCAATTCGTAGGTTAAGGTTTTTGAGTACAGGATCGAGCTCTGGCCGATAGCGAAAAGTGTAGTTTTTAAATTCAATAATGCCACGAGAAGGCCAATCATCTGTTGGTTGAATGAGTCCACTGCTTTCATTACTGTTCCGATGGCTTTCTGGTACTAGTTGGCCATATTCATGAATACGTTCTGCACTGGTCATGAAATTTTCAGCTTCGGCTGATTGTCGTATAGCCCATTGAAACAGACCTGTTAAACTGATACAATAGCTGATACTAAGTGCTGCTGCTGATGGATCGATTTGGTGACGCAACGCTACTGCAAGTATAGCAGTAACCAAAGTGAGTAAGGATGTCATAAGATCGAGTCGTAAACCGAACCAACGTGCAGCTGTAAAGAGAATGAAGTAAGCTCGTGAATTAGAATCGATTCTTTCCATGAACATATTCAAAAAATCACCTTGGACGTCAAACGCACGAATACTAGTGAGTCCGTCTAATGACGACGAGAACAATGCATAAATTGGACTACGCGTTACACTTTCGAGTCGTTTGAGTTGACGACTCGAACGCACGTAAAATCTACGAAGCCACAAAACTGTAGGAACTAAAGGAATGAGAATTAGAAGCACCCATGGGTTGGTCATACCAATGATTGTAATAGAACCTAGAGTCATTAGTAAATATTGCATAGTATCAATTAAAGCTAGAGGTAATGATTCGTCTAACACCTGTTGATCTTTGCTTGCTCGATTCAATATTCGTCCACTTGGATTACTTTCAAAGAAACGTAACGAAGTATATAAGATACCTTTAAGCATTCGATTGTGAAAATAGGTGGAACCACGCAACATGATATAGAAGGTATAGCCGGCACGTATTAATGCAACGATCAACGTAGCCAATATAACTCCAAGATAGACGTAAGCATAAAATGACGATCGTTGTTCACTTTCATCTTTACTAGACCATAGAGCGAGCCAATTATTTGTAAAATCGTACAGAGCTTCGTTACCAAGCATAAAAATTATCATTAGAAAAAAGCCAAACCAACGTAAAGGTGGTGAAGTAAACAGTTTTAGCCAAACAGTCCACTCAATGGTACCGTCAACTGATGTCTCACTCTTTACAATCGAATTCATATCAGTTGCAGCAGTATTAAGTGTCCAATCTGTCTTCTCGTCATTAGGTAAATCTGTTTCTGATGTATCATTGGATGGCTCAATGGCACACCGTTGTTCAATATGTAATTCGTCGCTGTGACCCTTCGTCAAGAGAATCATTTGATCTGCTTCAATTAAGAAATGTGTCTGATGTGTAACCAATATTCGAGTCTTTCCGCGAAGGAGACTACGAGGACCGATGCATTGATCAAATATCTTCTTTGCCACCTTTGGATCAACAGCAGCAAATGGATCATCAAGTAAATATAAGTCAGCATCAGCGTACAAAGCACGAGCGAGCGATATTCGAGCTTTTTGTCCTCCACTCAAATTGACACCTTTGTCACCAATCATCAATAAATCACCAACTTCACCGAAATTCTGTAGATCGATATCAAGACAACATGCCTTGATTACTTGCTTGTAACGTTCTTCATTCATTGGTTTGTTAAGAAGAATATTAGCTCGAATAGTGTCAGCAAATATCCATGCTGATTGTGGAGCGTACGAAATAGAATCAACATACAGTCGCAGTTTTCCATTGATAAGATTGATCTCACCAAGAATTGCGGCTAGTAGGGTTGACTTGCCAGCACCAATAGCACCTTTCACTCCAACCAGGTTACCCTTTCTGACTTGGAGATTGAGAGAAAACAAAGAAGGAGTATCTTTCCAAGAAAATGATGCATCTATCATTATGATTGCATGATCTTCGTTTTCATTTTCCACTTTTTCACGTTTATTCAACAATACGTCAACTTGCATAAATTGATCGATTCTTCTTGCAGAAACACGAGCCTCGCTAAACTTTTCGATCGCATACAGCATTGTAAGTGTTACAGAAACTCGAAGCATGGCGAAGAAGGCCAGTGTCGCGAAAATATTTTCTGAAAGCAAAGTTCGACCCAATAGCCAACTACCACCGAATGTAGCAAGAGAAATCAAAGGTAACGTTGCGAAGGAAAGAGCAGTATTAAGAGCTCTCAAACAGCTGGCTCTGTAAATGTTCGAAAGTTCACGTCGACGTGTTTCACGAACTCGTTGCTCCATGGCTTTTTCCCAATTGTACATTTTAATAATTTGACATCCACTGACAAGTTCATTGATTGTTTGCACACGCTTGTCTGTACATGCCATTGTGGTCTTTCGGTATCGGCTGAATTGCCTACTAAAAATGAGCTGTATGGGTACTAATAAAATCAGTACTGCATAGCCGAATAATGTCGGTAAGCCGATGTTCCACCAAACGAGACCAAATATAGCAAGAGTTTCCAGAGGTACCAGCACTAAAGCATGAACGAACATGCTTAATTCTTCAAATTTACCAGCATCATTTCCTACTAAATTAATCATCTGAGCAGCAGTAGTCTTGTGAAGAGCTGCCGTATTGATAGTCAACAAGTGCTTATAGATGGTAGATGATAATGTATTGCGAACTCGCATACCTACGCGAGTGTTCCGAAAGAAGATCTGTTGATCAATAATGGCTTCTACAATTGCAGAAATGCAAAGAGTAATAGCGCATAGATAGCCAACATAAGCAGGCAATCCCAATTGACCTTTAATGTAGAGAACAATTTGACGAATAAGCAATGGTTGTGCAATACGGGCAAGACTATATGGAAACACGAGCAATATGCTCATTAGAAAATCTTTATAAAATATTTGCTTGACTACATGCCATGTACCTGGCCATCTGGAACTATACTGATTCACTCTGTTCAACAAGCGTGAACACTTGTCATTGACAGAAAGATCACTAAGATCGTCATCAACAAGAGTGCGTTTATTACCCAAGGAGAGAATATATGTTATCCACAACAGTAGCGGTATCTGTATCCATCTTGTCCATGACGATTTAGCCCAATCCAATCTACATGATTGTCGTTGTTTACCTAGAATGTATTTTTATCGAAATAAAGTTGTATTCTATTCGTCTGTTGAACTAGTAGTGTAGAAATTTGAGACATATTATGTCGTAAAATAACTCTCCTTCTTTTTTTCTTCTGTGCTTGCAAAAGAAGTTCTGCTTTCAAGTAAAGGGTGCTTTAGTCTCTTTTTTATTGCCTGCTTGATGAGTCATCTAAAATAACGAACTTTACTCGCTAGTATCAGTTGGTTTTGAATCAATCGAAATGCGTATTAACAGAATGAACGCTATTTATCTTCAGTCAAGCGTGAAAATGGGAAAAGTGCTTACTTCCGTTACTTTTCAATATGATGACATATATCGAAATCGTTTAGTCGATACATCCGTAACCATGATCATACATTTATTTGCACTAATCACTTCTGACTGTTTTTCAAATTCAACTCCTATTTATCTAGACATCATATTTGTCTTGACCAAAGATCTTCGAGCCCTATATCAAAAACTGAGAATTTTAAAGCCAATATCAATGTTGGTGATACAAGCTTCTCAAATATAAAGATGATGATGAATCAAAGTGTGTTTACAAGCAACGAGATATCACAAAATAAAAAAAGAAGTCATGAAATTGTAGCGATAGAGCTTAAGTCGTAGTTGAAATACTTGACGATGAAGAATTAAAATACCATTACTATGTTGTTTATCAAAAGAGCTATTTTTCTCGAATGATAAACCATTCTAAGTTAATATGTATGAAACAAATCAATGAAACTATCCAAAAGCATCATTCTTTGCTCTCAAAACAAAATGTTCACTATATTATCAATGGAAAAGAATGTGACGCATCAATCAATTCAAAGCGAATTTAATTCATGAATTGGAACCGAATATATTAGATTTGTAATCGGTACATTCTTTTAATGATACTCACTTTCATTCTGTGAAGGGATTTTAGATGGATCTAGTGCATTTCCATTTTGCATATTCGGTTGTGTTTCTGGAGAAATTCGTGATGTAGAAAAACCATGAATATCCCGTTTTGCTGGTGCGTCGACATTTGTTACTTTTCTTTCTATCATCGCTCGTTTATTGTCAGTTGTTGAGAATGAGTGCAGAAAACAGTTTATGATTTCTACTTTTATTGTACCAAAAGTTTATTACAGACAATTGATATTCTCATTGTCGTTCCTTATCTCATTATCAAAAGACCCTGATGCATTAAGTGTATCTACTCATTTTGATAAATAAAGCATACATTTTTGTAGAGAAACACAGAGACGCATCAAATGGTGTATAAAAATTCACCTTTCATCAAGCCAAGCTAGATGCCTCGATTGATATTGCAATGAAATATGCGCCATTCTTTTTGTGTAAGATCTTTTCTTCCTCGCGTTTGAAGAGAATGTATTCCTACCCATCGTTGTGTTTCGTTAGATGGTGGGTATTATGATCTTAAATTCTTTCATATAGCTCAGCTCAGTTTGTTTTCGCTGAACGATATTTCTTTTAAGTTGTTTCCGAAAAAAAAAAGATTCATTGAAATTTTTTTTAGTTTTATTATATTTATTCAGTGAACTTCCAGAGATTAAACACAACTATTTTATCTGATACGTGTATGTACACATATTAAGAAAATAAGCAAATGTTTTTCATCGTGTTTCATTATCAATTTGACGAGTAATAGGTGCAAATATTCGACAAAAATATAACCATACCTATCAGAGATTATGTCAGAGCAGATTATGGTGAAGTTTTTATATCTTACTATTGATGATTTTAACTTGACAAATATTCACTAGTTGATAACAAAGCTAAGAATGTACATACAGGATGTCCCAAAAGTCATGTCAACTTAATAAATGCATAGAACTCCACTACTAATCAGGCTTAATCCAATTTTTTTTTACTAGAAAGAGAACACTAGTAAATTTTTATTCTTAAAGACTAAGTTCATGAACAGGCTAGAAAAGATATCATTTGTGGCTACCCAGACAGGAAACAAAATGGTAAAATTGTATTAAAATGCTTAAAAATATACATAATTATAATGATGTAAAACGGTCACAAAAAATACCTGAAACTGCTTTTCATGTGATACATTAAAATGATTACTTCAGATTAAGTGAAAATGGTTAAAAAAAGATAACAAAATAATGCTAACAACACAAATAATTTTTTCGCATTATTTCTGACCTATTTTGTTGATAGGAAAATTACCGATAAATTTGAGATAGTTAAATACTGTTCGACAAATTCATTTCAATTTTAATTATTTATTACCATTTAAGTGACGCTTCTTTCTTCTTAGAACATGATGTTTTCAATGTTTCATAAAAATTGTACAAATAAATTAATCACGGAAACAAAACAAAATGGAAGAAAAATAGAACGTGCTATGTATTTTTGTAGTCTAATTTCACAGTGGTACGGAAAAGAATCGTGCCTACCTGATCGGTATTATAGCCATCTTGGTTTCTGCACCACTATGAAATTAGACTAAAAAAAATACATGCACGCTCTATTTTTCTTTTATAAAGTTCTGATTCTGTGATTAATTTATTTGTATAAATTTTATGAAACATTGAAAAGATCATCTTCGAAGACAGAAACGCCACTTAAATTGTAATAAATAACGAAGATTGAAATAAATTTGTCGAAAAGTATTTAACTATCTCAAACTTATTACTTGTGACTTTTTCGGCTAATTATTTTAACGAATAAATCGTACTGTAATTTTGTGTTTACTTCGACACTCTTAGTATACTATGGCGATTGTGTGGAAGGTAAGTGGAGCAAAATTTCTAGGAAGTGATTTAAAATCAGAAAAAAATATTATAAGCTGATCAAAAAGAATAACAGCTATTTTTCTCGCTATAAATGGAACAACAGTGAGGATTAGATCATATATAGTACGTGTCAATGCTCAATGTTATTTCTACTTAAATTACTAGAGATTGAGTGCCGTTTATCTTGTTCAGTAAAACACAGAAGATTATGAATGACGATCGATTGTCCTAGCACATTTTAGGAATAATCTAGAATGTCTAAATAAACATCTTGCGCGGAGGAAAGATTCAGAAAAGTCTCAAAAATTATAAGCAGGAAGATGGATTTCTTAGTTAGTACTATTTAAACTCGTCAAAGATGTTCCTGATTATGTCGGATATGAACACGACGATATGTTACAACTGACGAGTCAATCTTTAAAATAAATTGGACTCGTTCTCTTTCCTTCCTTTTATAGTTATAGCATTGTTATCTATGCTGAGGGTGTGGGTGTGGGTGTAGGTGTGGGTGGGGTGTGGGTGTGTGGGTGTGGGTGTGGGTGTAGGTGTGGGTGTGGGGTGTGGAGTCTGGGTATGGGTGTATGTGACAAGAAGGCCGATACCCGTACACGCAATCCCTAATACAATATCGACTTTAGAGTACTTTTTCTTTGTGACTTTGACCGAGAAAAATACAGTATCATGATTCTTTTTTCCTACTGATAAGACAATAGTAAGAAGAAATGTAATTACATCATACGCATACATGTCCTTGCACCTATGTTTTATTTTTTTCTTTCTTTTCTTCAATTCGTCGATTGCAAGAGAGTGAAACAGTTAATGCGATGATCATCAAAAACATTGCACAACAAAATAAACGAACCTGGGGGTTTTGGTCGTTTTGAACTCTTTTCAAAATGAAATGTCAACAGGATTAAACAATGTTTCGATGTCAAAACGAGTGGAATTTTTAGGCAAACATTTTCACATGGGCTAGTTCTATCTGCTCACAACATGAAAAAACTGTACTGATCTTGATATTCTGAACACAAGATATATCAATATGACAATTTTATGGGGATCTTAAATGGTGCACAGCGACACTGTTACCCAATGTCTTTTTACAGTTTCATGGTACAAGGACAAATATCGAGTTGATCTTCATTTGATTCTGGATATATTTTTCTTCTCATCGTTCGTTTTTTTTCGACTTTTCGTGTGCGTTTTTATTATACTAGTTAGTTGGACTGGTAAATAGTTTTCGTTCCTCACACTTTCGGCAATTTTCTAATATTATGCTATTGAAGTGGATGTTGGCCACGTCTCTCTTTCTCTGCCTCCCATATGCTGTTACAGTTCAAACATTTGTTTTATAGTCCAATGTGTATTGCTCGATAATAAGCTACTCGTACCTACTACTCGCTCGTATTTGCTGATCGTCTTATTACACAAGTAAGCACATTGAAGCAGCATATAATCATGAGCTATCAGTGCGGCGTTTCAGCTCCGCGCTCAGCGCAAGGTTGTGTGATTCGAAACCATGCCAATTGTGATGTTCAGACTCGTATGGCCCATAAAAATGTCCGACAGAAGTCGGGAACAACATTGCCCATTATCCTACGATAAATTGATCTCAAGGTTAAATTAATCGGGCAAGGTTTCGAGTTGTCAGCTTAGGTTCATATGAAGCGAATGAACCAGTCGAAAACATCGAAGCCACTCAAACTGATGGCGAAAAATTGGAACTCAAAGGGCTATTCGATGGTGTGCACGATATCGAACGAGACTAGCCTTGCGTCATCAATAACGAAGGCATTCAGTCCATCTAACTCGACAGCTGCATAGGCAAATAGATGCAGCCACTTTTCAAAGAATTGTCACTATCAGCTGCCTTTTCGATAGTCTGATCGTTTCAATTTGTCGAATTAACCCGAGCAGAGATTTCTTCCTAGAGTGTTTACCAATAATTTCTAAAAAATGTCTCATTTAGTCTAGGCTAGACTCTTCGCGCGAAGATTTTTTCAATAAAGTATCTTTAAGAATTCATGGTGATTATGAAGTGGACAGAATAGAGTAAATTGGAGTTCAATATCTTTATTTTTATATTCTGAGAGAAATCTGATCTTTACTTTAAGCTATAGGAGGATGTGATAAAGTCAGGAGTTACATGGCTCATTATTCAAAATCTCTGCAAGATCTTGTATGAAAATTAATCAGCAGCCTAGTTTTTCCAATATTTTCCATTTGAGACAGAAATTCAAAAGAAATTCCTTCATTAGAACGGAAACTAGCAGTTGAGCAATGTTGAGAGATATAGTGCGGGTAAGAACCATCATAAACCGACACTATATGCATGAATGAGACGCAAGGATGCCCACGTTGTTCATTAATCACTACAACGTCAAAGTGTCTGCTCTACTTTCCATGGCATGTTTCCTCTCTCATCGTTCATTAATAATAATTTCTAAGGCCATTATGTCGGTGCAAGTCGCATAGGTAGTTTTCTTCTCTCTACTAACAGTAGTTTGCTTGTGCACTAGTATGTAGACGTTTATGTATTTTTCTTCTTTCTTCTTCTCGTGAGTTGTCGTGATGAAATGAATTCTTTTTTCTTTGTGCAGTTTGCATCGTTCGATAGCAAGACATTTTCTATCTATCGTGTTCTACCGATCGTTCGCTCGTGCTTGATGCTCATTGCATTTCATTAGTAACCAGCTTTAATAGCAGACGACGATCAGCCATTAATATTGCATTCTGATTCCACGGTTTGTACAAGGTTGCACAATTGAAAACAGTTCGGATGATGGTGTTCAAGCTCGTGTAGTCCACCAAAAACATCCGAACGAAGTCGAAAACAGCAGTTCACATTATTATTAGGCATGTACTGAGCCCAAGTAGCTCAGGCTCGGTCAGGCTCGGGCTCGGTCGGGCTCGGGCTCAGTCGGGCTCGGTCGGCCTCCGGCTCGATCGGCCTCGGTCTCGGCCAGGTTCGGGCTCGGTCTGGCTCGAGCTCGGTCTGGCTCGAGCTCGGTCAGGCTCGGGCTCGATGGGGCTCGGGCTCGAGGGGGCTCGGGCTCGGTTAGGTTCGGTTGAGCTCAGTAAGGCTCGGTCAGACTTGGATTCAGCTTTTCGTCCTCCCCTCAATGAAGTTTCTTAAGCGTTTTTTTCTTTCGTGTATCATAGTCAAATCTTTCTTATGATTATTTCAACATACTAACCGACAGAATATCTCAAGCTTATACATGGTCATACAACTCGGCTTTATGACCGTTAATCCATCTGCTGGTTTGAATATTACGATCTATATGAGAAGAATTCAAATCACAGAAGCGAATGTTTTTATTTCATTATTTNTCAACTTACATAAGCACAAGTTCATTGAGAGAAATATATTGATCACAAGAAACACAGTATCATAATATTCAACTGAAAACAATTTTATCTACAGTTTTCACTTCTTTATGAATTCGATTAATTTTCAATGCTTGAGGAATTTTTATCATAATTACAAGTAACGAATTTATATCTATTTATACATCGACAAAAACTAATTGAACACCCTCTGAAAGAATCTAAAACGAAGAACTAACCATGTTGTGCTTACTCCTAACAACAAAAAGTCACAGATTTGATTTGCTGAAGATTTCTTACTCAATGTTTTTTTTGGTAGAGGCACCCAATAATGATGAAAGGGTAATTCTGGAAGAACATTATCCTAATATATCACTGCCATCTCAAGTTAATGTCGTTTTTCGAGCAGATCATCCAATGTACACAAGTTCTCTATTTTAATACCAGTCGGAATAGATAAATATCTGTCGTCGGTTTGCATTAATTTAAGTCTTCGAGTTGGTTCTTTGTGTGTCAACGAACCAAATTTTAGTATAGGACTACGCATGAAAATAACTTCTAATTCAGACAAATGCTCGATAATTAGATGACTTTCATGAACATATGGAAATGGCACTGTGTTTCACTGATTACGTGCATCGATTTCTTATAAAACCGTTTAACATTTATCGTTTTCAATTAGATTCAATTTGAATCTATATTACTTTGTGGAAAAAAAAAAGAAATCCAGATATAACTATATGTTGATCCGGGTTCATTTTTATATATTGATTTCGGATGATAATATGGGCAGTAGTCTATATACAAACAATGAATGTTACGTATGAATCTTGAATATAGGGCATACCGATCGAGACGAAAAAAAACAGAAGAAAAACATTTACATATTTTGTTCATGCTGCACTCTATTAGTAAAACATGCCAGTAGCATATTTCATATCAAACAAACAGATTGTGTTTTCAATACTTCAAAAATAGCTCAATGATCTTTCAAATTTGTATGAAAACTGCACAGCTAGAGATAGTTTGCTTTTTCGTTGTTGTTTTCCTCTCTTGTGACACTTCGAATACGATGATCGACGACAACATCCGACAAAAGATAATTCAAGCAGCAGCTCAATGATACAAACACTGGCGTCATCTTGTTCGTTGTTACAGTCGTGCATTTTTCGTTTCTTTAATAGTACTGGAACTGTTGTACAGATGAACGAAGTTTTATATTTGTTTGACTTATACATGATTTTTTAAGGATAATCTAATTGTCCAGCATCGTTTCGCTTCTGTCTTCGAAACGTTTTCCCAGAGATCAACTATCATTTACGAATAATTAGATGAATATGTTATCTTCCATTTTGTAGTGCAACTTGGTTTAAATCTAATTTCAACTTCGATGTATTAGTTCGTATCAAATGAATTTTTTTAATTCGCCCAATATTTCACGTATCGATAGCGTCAGATTGACACACTGATTATTCGATTATTTTGAATCCATAAACTTTTAGTCTTACATGATATAAGAGTAAGATGAGCATGTAGCATTTTATTTTTCCGAGTCTACTCTTTTTCAGGCTTTTCTTTCTTTTCTCTTTTTTGCACTGTATTCGCCTATTTTTATTATGACCACTGCTTATCGATGTGATTGAGTATCATTCGATTCATTCTCAATCCAATGCAACATATTACAGTAGTTTGAATCAAATCTTCACAACTATACCTTTCGATGGTTTCGTATTGTTTGATTTTGCATTTTTTTATGTCTCAGAAGATATCGTCGATATTGGTGATTAATTTAGACAGCAGAACTTATAGTTTTAACTTAGTTCATTTACACTTTGTTTTAATACCGGGCTGTGTTTTCCATTTCATCCCTTCATCATCTATCGACAAGAATCTTGATCTTCTACTTCACAACACTATGTTCTCTAGCATCGTGCTACCTCATGTTTGTTTTTTACATAAACAATAATTAACACACATCTTGTAAAATTTTCCAGGGAGAAAGAAGAAAATTTTCAAAAGTCAAGAATCCGATTTCTATTCTCTGATCGTACCTATGCAGATTCTTCTTCTCACATTCAGTTAACCCTCATGAAGATGACATATAATTAAATAATAACAGATGAAATAAGAAAATAAAGAAATTCTAATAGTGTCATAATTTATTCAAATACAACAATACAAAATGGAGGTTTGAAATTTAATTTTAGATTCACATCAGCTTGTATAAGATATGAATGAATCGAGAAATTTAGTTATTAGTAAAGCAGAAATGTTTTTCCATAGAACCAAGAATGTACAGCATACTGTTAGAAAGTTCCATCTGTTGCTAGGTTAGATTACGAGATTTCTAAATAGGCGATTAAGAAAGATTGGGATTAGGTCCACATATATTATCAAGTTCATCACGTTTGTTGAGTCTGTCAATGTTGCAAACATACAGCAAACGCCTGCCAGCGTGCTCAGTTACGGTCCATAGACCTCCAGGACTCCCATTTGATTTGGGCCAATGTGTCAGATCTTCTGGACCTACAGCGGCATAGTGAGCGGTATCAATTTTCAGTATTCCAGTGGCAGAAGTTATGGGCTTTGTAACATATAAGACTCCATTCGATGCGCCTCGACTGCGACTCAGAAACCACTTGTGGTTGTAAGACACAGCACCTTGAATATTGGAGACCGGTAATCGATAGGCTGCGTCAGCTTTCCAGAGACCATTTGTAAGCTTTGGCTGACCAGTGTTACCGTCTACAGGCCAGCGAGCTACACGTCCCGACTTATTAATATCACCTGCAGCAATGCTATCCGCGCAGAATTCACCACTAATGATATGATCGAGGCCGCTACGGTCAACCGCTGCAAATGAAAACGTAGGTGATCCGGCATTAACTGTACAAGCCTTTTTTGAGTCTCTTTGGATGACATTGGTCCACGCAGCCACCTCTGGCATCACATAGCGATAACCGTGTCCATAATATTTTCCATTTTGGCGACCGATCTGATTTTTGTCGCTAGTATCACCATTTTTGGCCTTTCCGAGATCAAAGATATAGCGCATGTCGAAGACTCGAAAACCGCGTGCAGTGTCGGCAACATATAAATAATTACCGTACCAGGCAATTCCACCAGCATGCAATGAATCATATTCTTCTTTCTGCGTGGTGCGCAAGCTCATATAACTGGGGTTACCGAAACTATTGATAAACGGATATACCAATAACACATGCTGATATTTAGCCGTGTCTGGATCAAAAAAGGTTATTCTGGCGCCTTTTATCTTATCAGCATCTGTATTCGTTTTCTTTTTAGGTTTTTTGTCGTACCAACTAATTAGTATCGGTTGTTTGGTATTCCAATGTTGGTCTGCCTGAGCATCGGCTACTGTAGTAACGCCCTGTGGTATCCATTCCACGTCGCCGCCAATTGTGCCACTGTCTGACGCACTGAAACAGTAGCTGATAGTAGTCAACTTCCGACTGAGAGTGGCATCTGGATTGCACGTCTCAGGTGTAGTGCTCAGCTTGCCATACCGATTGGCTTGTTTAAGGATGTTCTCTACCCCAAGCTTAGGTAGTTCTGCATCGAGCTTCTTTACTCGGTCAAGCAATTCAGCTTGATTAGTAGCAGGTCGCAACCGAAAGTCGTTGAGATTTGGGATTTTAGCGTGCTCAACTGGTGCAGCCTCAGAAACCAACAGCCAACTGATAACTATTAACACTGTCAGCATTCTTCCACTTAGTACCTTCGGATGCCGCTTCATTATCCAAGTAAAATTTTTCCACTAGAAAGTCGGAAAAAAACAGTACTTTGTAATGTTTTGGAAAAATCAGAATGATCGAGCAAAATGCTGCAGACTCTTTGACTCATTTTCATCCATCAAGAGCATATACGTAAAATAGCAAATCATGGGCTGAACTTCTGCACATGTTTCGTGCTCAAAATTACCGAATAAGGACAGAAAAAAGCAGAAGATCGTAAATGCATACTTATTTGTCACATAGTCGCAACATGCATACGCATTAGAGTATAAACACATAAATGGCCACTATGACGATACAAGTTTATTTCGGGAAAGAAGAATATATTGAATGTTCAAATAGTCATAAAACAAGGAAAAAAGGATTATTCGATCATATTTTTCTCAAGTGGGTTAATATTTATATCACTGATAAAGAAGTGTGTTCACATATCATATCCATAAAAAAGAACTGTAATCTTTCACGAACTATAAAAACATGTATGTATTTATTTCCTTAACCAAGAATAAATGACATCTGATTTTATTCGATTGATTCTTCACATTAGTGTCGTTTAGTTTCATAGTTACGTCACAGACATATATTTTTTGACGCCGTCTACCCTGCAGATTTCAGTTGCAAGCAACAACATTTTTTTGAGAAAACTACAATATTGTTTTTTGTATACATCGTAAAAGGCTACAGTTATTCCTCGAAATCAACTATAACACTCTAAAGCAGTTTTTGATAAGGTTTTTTTATGAATACGATCTATGAATACTATTTTATCAGTAGTAAAAATATTCGATCATTTGATCAAAATATGGCAGAGATATTCGATCTTTTATCTTGTTTCATGACTTTCTGAATACTCTGTAATATCAAAGCAGAATGACAACGTAGTCAAGCACTACTATTTCGTAAAAATACATGTTGAACAATGATGATATTATGTGATTAAAAATTGATCTATGTACAGCTTGGTTACATATTTTTGAAAGTTTTGTTCAGTTTGCTGTATTTGTACAAAATCTTTGAAATTTCTTATTCAGTCATAGATGAATACAGTATAAATTACTCTATCGAACCATGTATTTTTTTATTTGATTTGTTTTGCATCTTGTCTAAAAATTTGATTAATTTGGGAAAGCAGTCAGAAAAGATTTCTTTTATCTAGCAATTTTTCCAATTGTTTCGAGTTTCTCTGTTGAACTATTTATTTTTGATTGGATTTATTTCACTTTCATCAAATTTCTATCAGATCTTACCGATAAAATTATACGAAAAGTAAAATACACTTAGTTTTGCATAAATACAAAAATGTTTAAATTTTAATAGTAAAATTCAATTTTCTTTTTAATTTCAAATCTGTTTTGTTTCATATTTTCTACACATTCTAGTTTGATGGATCTCTTTCATCTAAATTATTTTTCATGATTAACTAATTCAGTTTCAAGAAAACATGAGCGTACAAAAATTCCATTTCACCGTTTTTCGAAGCATATCGAATGTTTGGACAAGATCAACAATGAATCAAATGAAAACTATATAGTTCGATAAAGCATTGACCCTCTATTTAACTATATCAACATAAGAAGTAGTCGATGTTTTAAATATATGCATATATATATATATAGTAAACTGAACATAAATATCAAAGATAACGTAATCAAACTGCCCGTTCATCAAATACTACATGTTCAACATTTATTACTTAGCTTTTATGGAAATGTTTGCTGGGTTTTTACCATCGTTTTTTTGAATAATCGTCAAGGTAAGTTTATATAGCTTCTTTGCTGGATTTTATCTTCGATGAAAGTGCAGATCCTCTTTCGCACTCCATGAAACATCGGTTGATAAGTGCATATAAAAAATATACTCATTTGCTTTCTATTAGTCACATGTACAGTATCACTCAGTGCAAATGCTTGATTCAATCATTTTTCTTCTTATGTTTTTTTGATTGCGTGATAAATATACGCACTTTCTCCTCGTCTATAAATGCATTTCAATATTCTGCTTGTATTACTCGACTGAGTCATTCATAGTGAAAAAAGTTACGTATTTTTTCGTGTAGATTTCTCTCACATCTGCGTACAGTATCTCTCATTGAACCGAAGAACATTGCTGTTCATAGAGTCCTAAAATTTTTGTTGAACAATAAGAATTTACAGCACCAAAGTTGTCATACTATGTACTACTAGTACAAAAATGTTCCATCTATAGGTCTCGTCTCACATTGTCGAACATTTCTATATGCACCATTGGTTTATAATAGCAACATTCTATGAAAAGGTTTCTTCTTCTGACAAATTTTATTAATTGACTTCAGATGAACTACTGTCTGCTCTGATTTTTATATAGTGCAGCGATATTTCCGTACTTTATGTGTACAGAATTTCATGTTGTTCTGCAACTTGCTAATGGAAGGCGAAATACGAACAAGTCAAGTAGCGATGTGTAATAAATAGCGGTGACAACTAGCGAATATGTTCGATTATTTTTATAATTGCACTTCAACAGATGATTGCAACTCACTGCCATCGTTTATGATTTTCTAACGTGCCGATTCACTGCTTTGATGTTGATGAAAATTAAGATAAGATTGTAACTATAGCAAAGCACAGGAACAACAGTTGTTGCCGCTGGAAATCGATTCAATTGAATCGTAGACGTTTGTCGACAATATAAGCAACAAAATAGATAGTACACAAGTAGTCATCGACAAAACATTGTATTCCTTTTTCGAGTTTCTGACAAATATAAACTACTTCAAGAATCTTTAAATAAATTTTTCTTTCACACTGATGCTATGCTGATTTTGTCGAAAAATAGTATTTAAATAGTTATGAAAAGACTGTTTTTTGTTGAATTTACCATGAATATGATTTAAACGGAACACTATTGACGAAATGAATGGTTGGTTATGAAAGAATAGATTCGACGTGTTGATTACACTCTATGTGAAGAAAGCAAATATCAAATATTGTAATCTTTGAAGAGCTCTACAAAACTGTAGTTCAGAAGACTTACAAGAGATTTTTGTGCATTGTATCGGGATAACATTGAGCAAAAGTAAGTCATGATTTTGCATGATTTCCATTATAGTCGTAAATTGTTAAATTATATTAAATTTCAAGAGAGTTTAATAGATGCATAATTTCCTGTCTACCTTTTGAAATGCTTCGAGCTGCTCTACCAAAATGTGCATAATGTTTTTCGTCATTCGAATACTATTATACGATTCATCGTCGTGTTTTCTTGCTAAATTGTGATTTAAATTTCATTTGCATCATTGTTGGTTAGAAAAACAGCGACAAAGAGGTCTTGGCTAAGCACATTTTGGTCATTTATAGACTGAGATTTTGTTACTGATATTTAGTACACCCTTCGTGCACGATTGGGGTTATGTATTGTTCGTCTGTCGAACGTTTAAAATAGTCATTGCTCTCAAGAATATTTGGCAAGAGAAATGGAAAAGCAAGAAAGCCAACGAGCTTCTCACAATTGGAAAGGTTAAGATATTTTAGAGAGAAGACTGACAAAGTGAACACTAAAAACTTTCAAATTTTTATTTCAAGAATAACAATGATCATTCTCTGAAACAAAAATCATTCGACAAATCTTACAGAATTAGCGATATTCTACTGTTTAATTACGATTATTTTGGATTGATCGTAGATCACACTCTATTCTTGGCAGCATGTGTTAACTTTGTTTCAACGAATAGTCAATCTGATTTGAAAAATTGATATAATAAAGATTTAATTCTAACTAAGCTTTCTATTTGCTTAGTGTCAACGAAAATACTTTCGAAGTTATGCGAGTATGTCGACCGAAGCTGAGTGTGTGGATGGTTGTAAGTGAGCCAAAGAGCTACTTGCATCCACTTACCCATCGACACCTATACACCCCTACCAAGAAACTCGTGCATGTATAACACATAGTGATATGTTTGATAAGAGAAAATTTCGCATTTGAAGTCACAAGAAAAGACTAAAATAAAAGAGACGCAAAAGCATACTGGTCACAATGAAAGAATTTCAGTTTACTCTCGAAAGTATTCTCAATGAAAGGTAAAGTATTTTATCGTGTCACATTTTTTCCAAGTAAATATTGTCCTTCCAAGAGCACACTATGCTTGAATATTTTATTATCTTCAAAGACAGTTAACTTATCAGTACTTCAGTTCTTTTGTCTTTCTGCTTGACGACGGAAGTAAAAAAAACTATATATATATATCATTGAATCCTGTAGAAGGCTTTGCAGAAAAGAGCCTTTTTTAACATTATTTGGTACAATTCCGTCGTTAACTTCATCTAAGTGGTATGGCAGGTTTTGGAAGTACTGAATATAATTTCAAGAGATTCGGTAGAACAGCCAATATACCAAATGCTGATATTGCCAAAATCATGTAATATTTGGATTGTGTATGCACTGTTATTGAGTATAATGATAATGATATTCGTCGATATCGGAACTATGCGAATTGGAGCAACATGTCAGATCAAGAAGATCGACTAATTTTCCTATTGGCTGCAACACTCTCACCAGATGAATTAGAGGACAAGGTCTTCTTCAATGCACCAGCGCTCTCTCCCGATAGCAATAATACATTTTATGAAATAGGGCAAGTTAGACGTCAATTAGTGATTGTTCAATCCATTGTTATTGCTGGTCAATCACGACAAGTGAAAAAAATTATGGCATATAAGCAAGTTTGGATGCGTGCATATTACTATGAACCAATGCAACGACTTGCGAATCGATTTAGAGCAGAAAAACAACGTCAAGAAGCACTTATGAGGTCAACGGCTTGCACTATTTCTTAAAAAAACAGCTGTACAATATGTTTCTGAGGGTGAATTTATTGAACTTGAAGTTTTTTTTGTCACTTTTAAAGCACAATTTTGAATTGATGTTGAAATAAAAGGCGAACTTCGATGAAGCATTGATATGACATATAGCCTCTTAAAGTGAAAATTGAGACTAAAGTGGTATTTTTGAAACACAAATCCTATACTAAGTCGTCTAATGGTGAAATAGGTCGTGAGTTGATTTTTCACGACTCAGTCTGGTTTATTTGAAGCTTTCTGATTACTCATTTTTTTTCAATGATACAGATGGACCAGATCTCTGTTTACAAGTAGATTCTTCTGTATCACATGAATTAATATGCATTTGACAAAACTGAACATTTTTCGCACACGAATGATCCATTGTCACTTCTTGAAGGTCATCTTTGATTTTTTATGAACAATTATATGAAGTTAATGAAAATCTAGCAAGAAAAATGAATCTTATTCAACCTGACTCCACAGACCGTCACAGACATTTCGAAATGGTACACCTTGAGTTTCCCACATATCATGGTGAACGCAGTGAAAGTCCTGTTATACAATTAAAACAACTGCACAAAGCACGATGATTTAGTATTAGTACAACTTTGAATTAGTCTTCAAACGAACTGACAGACTTCACAAAGGCAACTGTATTAATGCTACTACTCAAGATCAGATAAATACTCACCATATAATCATATTTTAAAGGCGCTTGAAGTTATCTTCGAGTTTTTTTACGATTACTGATAAAACCTCTTCGTTCGACTGCAGTTCGAGTGGGTCTTTTCCAACTTGCAAGGAACGTATATTCCTTTACGGTTGAGTTTAGTTTGTTTTGAGCTCCAAACGTTCGTTACTTAATTTTCTCACAAAAAGCATTTTTCACACTGTCTGCGCGTCTGATCTGAAGATGAATTAATTTTTATTAACTATCATCTGAGGATATCGTTTGGCAACAGTAATTCAAAAAGAGAAAGATACCTTGTGGGGTTCAAATAAGAATATTGTTCTTTTGATAGACATTAATTATTTAATCGAATATTTATAGTAGGTAAGTCGTTTATCAATTTCATTCAAGAAATATCTCATAGTCATTAAAGTATGTCATGGAGTATCAAATTGTCGTTCTCTGATATCGAATAGTCAATATTTTGAATACATTATTCGAATTCTAGGACTCATAGAAAAAAAACAAAATAGTATGTTGATATGTCTGTTTGATTGGTGGACAAGCTACAATAAGTTCAGTTTTCTTGTTTGTTACTTCAGTACTCATAAACAATCATGTTCTATAAAAGAAAATGTAACATCGAAATGTGACGTATACTTGTCGAAAAAAAATTCTCAGTAGAATAGTGCCAAGTTGCCTGAGGCCAACTTCATCTCTCTGTGTTCGACAGTGCAAAAGCAACAATTGATAAAGTGATTTCACGTCGATATGGATTATTTTTGTGTTTGATTAATTTTAAAGTGGTCATGCATTAAACATTGATCTAATCAGCAACAGTATTTCGAAGTAAAGCAAAAACAAAACAAATTCTGCCAATCCAAATGGCTTCTTGTTGTTGATAATTCATCGTCGAAATGAGTAAGTAGACATTATGTCAATAATCAATGGAGATCGATGACTTATTCCTTTGCCGTATTTCTTTTCAAACGATCGGTAGTTATCTTTTTCAAATAATTACTGTTGATGTTGTTTCTTTCATTATTCTCATTGAGAAGTGATTCATGTTAGCAACTAAGATATGCCACACAAATGCAAATTATTCGTTTATTTAAACCTTTAAGAACAATATTTTCTGTTCCATACAATCATGCAATAGTGAAACGTAAATTTTACAACAGAAAATGATAAAACATAATTCAGTGATTCATATGAATGTTTACTTTTCTATATTCTTATTTTATGCCATTTATAATCATGTGCAGTAAATTCCTTACAATCTTACTGTAGTCTTCAGACATTAACAATATCATCTAGGGAAACCTGCAAATTTTGATTAAATAAGAAAAGAGAATTTACTCTGCAGAGTATCCTACAGCTGTCGATATATGATACGTATGCTTAATGAGCAAAACATCTTGAAGAGACATAAATGAGTACTGCAAAACAAAAGTATGTGAGCGTAAAACAGAAATTTTTCTCTACTTCGACATTGACTCCATCGATGTATGCTCAATAGTCCCATGCCATTCTATCAGAGAAATTGTAGTTGAGGGCAAATTCTTCTGTTCAAATGTACTGCAACTTATTTTCATACTTAAAGTACTAGTTTGTTAGCAACATCCTGGTCTTCCTTACATATCGACATTCTAGATTTGAATCAAACGTGTCAAAAATTTATTGAATAAAATATTAGTAAGCTCCATACGTTATACTAGCAAACACAGGTTTTAGCCGAATGGAATACTTGTGAAGAAGCAAAACAACAAAATTATTCTCAAGTTAAAANATATGCACTTCTTCCATTTTATGCAGAATGATTATTGCTGGCATTCTCCTCTTCTTAATTCTTTCATGCTTTCATTCTCTTCTTGATTCTTTCCTTCTTTCGTGTTTTCTTCTTCATTATTGAAATAAAATTGAACTCACGTTCAACAAAAAACACAAAACTTACATTGGCGACGAGAGTGTTCCTCTCTTATTCATTCGTTGATCATCTTCAACAATCGAATTTTTCTTCGTATTCATTCTTCAATTATCTTTGTGATTTTGGCAATCATTGTTCATGTCTAAATCAACGTCAATGTCAACAGTTCAACCACCAACAGTTTCTTCAATTCCTGCACTTCATGCTTTTGATTCTCGCACAAGTACCTGGCAATCTTATCGAGATCGAATTAGTTTTTATTTTCAAGCAAATCGTATTCACACGGATGAAGATAAAAAAGCGCTCTTTCTTTGGTCTGTTGGTGACACCACATATAATCTACTAGAATCATTGATATCACCACGATCGTTAACTGGTGAGGATACAATGTTCACCGATTTAATCAAGTTGTTAGATACTCATTATGATGCAACAAAGAACATTATGACGTCCACATATGATTTCTACTCCTGTTATCAAAAATCAGGACAAACATTCGCTGAATGGAAAGCTGAATTATGTGAAAAACTACGCCATTGTGGATTTACTACATCTGCTTTAAAAGATAAACCACAAGACCGTGCACTTCGAGATATGTATGTTATTGGAATTAAAAGTCAAAAAATTCGACAAGCATTACTCAAGGACCAAGATCCTGACTTAGAAACAACAGAAAAAATTATCCAATTAGCTGAACGCTTAGAAGAAGATGTTCGCCACTTTGGCAATCCAATTAAACATGATGATTATGCAGTGGCGAAGCTACACAATTTTCAACCCAAACGACAAAAACAGCCACAAAATAAATCATTTGTAAAAAATGAATATAAACCATGTGAAACATGTGGTTCAACGAGACATCTTCGATCAAAATGCCGATATCGTGAGTTTATTTGTAACTTTTGCAAAAAAACCGGTCATTTAGAAAAAGTATGTCGACAAAAGAAAAATGAAAAACCTTCTACAAAACATATTGCAACGATTTATAAATTGAATTGTTCAAATCAAACAAATCAATCCATTAAACATTCATCAACAATTCCATTAAAAGTCAACAGTTATGATTTTACCTTTGAGCTTGATACCGGAACATTTAATACCATTATTAGTATGGAGGATTGGTACAAATTAGGATCACCGACCATTCATCCATCTAATTTGAAATTAAAATGTTACAGTGGTAATGCTCTTAAGATTAAAGGTGAATGTAATGTTAAAGTACAATACCAAAACCAATATTATGATCTATCTATGATTGTTATTTATGGTGCAAGTCCACCTCTTCTTGGTCTTCAATGGATTAACATAATGCAACTCGACTTAAATCAACTCATTCATGCACAACATTCTGTTCAACATTCAATTCACAAGATTTATACCTCCTCAAAACTTCAAACAACCTTGCAAAAGCACAAAAATGTATTAAACAAAGAACTTGGACATTGCACTAAAGTTCAAGCTCATATTCAACTTAAACCTGATGCAACACCGAAGTTTTTCAAACCACGACCAATACCATTTGCATATCTTGATGGTGTAAAAGAAGAAATTCAAAGGAACGTCGAAGCTGGTATTCTTGAACGTATTGATACTTCTCTTTGGGCAGCACCAATAGTTCCTGTGAAAAAACCAAACGGTAAAATTCGAATATGCGGTGATTTCAAGGTGACAATTAATCCTCAAATATTAATTGATCAACATCCGATTCCATCGATTGAAGAACTTCTTGCACGACTCAATAACGGACAGAAATTTACTAAATTGGATTTATCCGATGCTTATCTTCAAGTTGAATTGGATGAACCAAGTAAAAATTTAGTTATTATTAATACACCACTAGGTTTATTCCGTTATAATCGAATGCCATTCGGTATTTCAAATGCACCTGCAATTTTCCAAAGAATTATTGATCAAGTTATTGCTGGTATTCCAAACTGTGTTGCTTATCTTGATGATATATTATTAACTGGTGCAAACGAAGAAGAACATTTACAAACACTTGAAATGGTTCTTCTGAGACTTTCGGAATTCGGTTTTAGGTGCAATCCCGAAAAATGCTTATTTTTTCAAGATGAAGTTTCATATCTTGGATTTATTATCGACAAGAACGGCAAACGTCCAGATCCAAAACGTGTAGAAGCTATTAAAAATATGCCTGCACCCAAGAATGTCAAAGAACTTGAAGCTTTTATTGGTAAAGTCAATTATTACGGAAAATTTATTTCAAATTTTTCTGACAAATGCAAGTTGTTAAACCATTTACGTAAGAAAAATACTCCGTGGAAATGGAGTCAAGAATGTCAAAAAGCATTCAACAATCTGCTGCAAGAAATTGTCAATACAACAACATTAGCACATTTTGATGCTCAATTACCAATTATCTTAGCAACAGACGCTTCACATTATGGCATTGGAGCTGTAATTATGCATCGATATCCTGATGGTTCTGAACGACCAATTGCACACGCTTCTAAAACTTTAACTGCTGCTGAACGTAATTACAGTCAAATTGAAAAAGAAGCACTTTCAATTATTTATGGTGTTAAAAAGTTTCACCAATATCTAGCTGGTAGATCATTTGAACTCAATACTGATCATCAACCTCTTTTAGCGATTTTTAATCCAACTAAAGGTATTCCAGTTGCAACAGCAAATCGACTTCAAAGATGGGCAATTTGTCTTATGGGATACAATTATAATATTCGTTATAAACCCACTCGATCGCATGCTAATGCCGATGCATTATCACGATTACCAATTGGATATGATAATTCTTTTATTGACAACGATGCTGAACAAATTAATTACATTCAAACACAACTTATTGAACAATGGCCACTAAAGCCAACTGAAATTGCACTAGCGATTTCAAACGATAAAACACTTAAATTGGTAAGAGATTTTACTCTCACCACATGGCCTTCTTCATTTTCTAGGTCGAAGAATCCTGAATTAGTTCCGTATTATAACAATCGTCATTCATTGTCGGTTATAAATGGTTGTATTTTAAAAGATACTCAAGTGATTATTCCGAAACAATTACATGGTCGAGTACTTCATATGCTACATCGTGCTCATCTTGGTACAATTAAAATGAAACAATTAGCCCGAGCTCATTGCTGGTGGCCAAAAATGGATAAAGATATTCTAGATATTACAAAGTCCTGTACAATATGTGCACAACTACAACCACTACCTAAACCACAATTCAAATCATGGGAAGAACCAAAACAAGTATGGTCTCGTTTACATATGGATTTTGCTGGACCAATTTGGAATTCAAAATGGCTGATACTAATTGATGCAAAATCAAAATTTCCAATTGTAGCTGATATGAAAAATGATACAACAGCAAAAAGCCTTTGTGATGCTTTAGAAAAAGTAATTGATTGGTTCGGTCCTCCCGAAACATTAGTTTCTGATAATGGTCCACCATTTAATAGTTATGAAATGAACCAATTTTATGATAAGTATGGTATTAATCATATAACAACAGCGCCGTATCATCCAGCTAGTAATGGCTTAGCCGAACGATTTGTTCGTTCATTTAAAGAAGCAATGTTAAAAGAACAACAAATGGGACAAACAAATAAATTTACTGCATTAAGAAATGTATTACGAAGTTATCGTTGGACTCCACATACTACAACTGGTACTTCACCGGCAAACATGTTGTTACAACATCAAATCAGAACTGAATTAGACATAATGAAACCTCATGAATCAATTAAATCACAACAACAAACAAAATATGCTGTTGGACAGTTAGTTTGGACATTGAAGCACCAACTTAATAAACGACCCCAATGGCAACAGGCAATCATTACGAAAAATATCAGTTCAATGATTTATGAAATTCAATTACGTGATGGACAACGTTATAAACGTCATCAAAATCAACTTCGTCCTCGTTATTCTTCAAATACTCAATCATCCGAAATAGGCAGTCTACCTGATGATTTATTAAATACAAAATTGCAATCAAAGACTACTACGTTTTCACATTCATCATCACCGAGGTATCGTCCTCGTCGAAATCGAAAACCACCTGATCGTTACACACCTTAGTAACTATCTTAAGGGGGAAGATGTTAAGGAAATATTCTTCCTTATGAACTATAGATGTGCATGTTCATTTTCCTTTCTCTTTCTGTTACATGTATCTGTTCTTTAGTTCTTGCTCAATTGAAATTGTTCGTTCGTGTCTATCNAATTCTTCTGATAATTCATCATTAGCAACTATGTATAACAATATCGCTTCAGCATATCATTCAATGAAAGATAAATCAAGTGCAATTTTATTCTATGAAAGAACTGTTTAAATTCGAGAAAAATTAAATTTTGATAATGAAAAGTCTTTTGTAACTGTTTATAATAACCTTGGTGCATTATATCAATCAATACAAAAATTATTCAGCTGCAGCTGATAATTATGAAAATGTAAAATCGAATTCGAGAGAAGTTATCATCTTCGAATTATTCATCATTAGCTATAACTTATTATATTCTGACAAGAGCCTATGAAGAACTTCAAGATTATCATAAAGCGATAAAACATGCCAAACGTTCTATTGAAATGATTTGTCAAGCTGTCGGTCCTAATCATTGTGAAGTGGCCGAAAATCAATATTATGTCGACCGTCTTCGAAAAAGATTATAACATTTAAATAAAATAAAATCAATCATTTTCTAACTCATTCTATCATGAAGAGTTTTTATTTAGCTTTTTTAGATTTTGTTATTTTTTTGTTTTATTGATCAAAATGAATAATAAATCATCAAATAAACTTCTGAAAATTTTTTTAGTACAAAACTAATTCAGTACATTCTGGATGACGCAAATAAATTATAAAATAATTCAGCTTTTATTAATTTGTATCAATAGTTTCAGTAGAATCTGACAAGATATAGATGTGAGTATATACGCACATCCTTGTCACCAGTGGTATATTCTATGATATTCTTTAATTAGATCTTTCCTATAGAATATAGAAATTTTCAATTATTTTGTAATTCATTTGCGTCATGAACTTTCAATACATCTGCATCACAGATTTTTTTAGCAAATTATTATATGATATCTTTATTTGGCAACCAGGGTTTTCGATTGCTTTTAGAAGCGGAAACGGCCAAAAATTTGACAGACAATCAGAGGTAGTCTGTCTGACAGAAAGTGATTAAGCCATCTTAAATAAAGAAATTATTATATGAATATTTAATAAATATTAATTTAATCCGAAAGTAAAAAAAGGAAAAGAATTTGAAAATCAAAATATGGCATTGTTATTTATGAAGTTCAAATTGATCAGCAATATTATCGTCACTATCATGATAATAAGTAAAATGTAAATAAGTTTGATTGGCAAATATAGTTGTATATCCAAATTGTTGATCATGATATAAACTCCATTCAGCACCTGAATATGAACCTGAATCTAGATCTTGTCCAGCCATACCAATTAATACTTGTATTATACCATCATCAACACATTTATGTTGAAACATTGGACATGAACGTTCATATGAATGTCGATGTGCATAAAGATTAACATCAACATGATATTTATAAAATAATGGTTCTAAATATAATTGAAGCATTAATTTAATTAAATCTATTGGATATTCAGATTCTGATGTATACATATGTCGATGGGAACCAACAATTAACCATGGAGTACGAGAACGATTTACTGAACGAAGATCTTCTTCAATCCATTGATATTGATCAGATTGACGACGAAAATCATGTTCTGTTGAATAATAAATAATATGAATTGGACCAACATCAAAACTATACCAAAAAAGACCATTTCCATTTGATGGAGAATGAAAACGACGAACCATTGGAACGGCACATTCACCACCTGAATCAGAACCATAATTACCCCTACAATAAATTTCATTTCAAATCAATGACATTATGAAATATTCCTACATATAGACAAAATGATTCCTGTATCGTCACAATTGTGATCCGAACCAGAATAAAAAAAAAAAAAAAGGTACATTAAACGATATATATTACATATCTGGTACTTTATAAAGTTTAATTATCTTATTTAATATTTTATTCATTTTCTATAATTTGTTGAATACAGGACAATGAGACCTAATCATATCGATTCCATAGATTCATTTTTGAACAGTTATCTCTCGACGTAGTCTTGAATATTCAATTATCAAGAAATAATCGATGAAAAAAATAAACTTTATTTTTGACGAAGCATAAATCTCATATAAGAACTGTGAATGATAAACAAATAGTTTCAGACATAATCTATATGTGACATATTTTTGTTTAGTCTAGGCTGATCTTATTGTCATAAAAATCTTACCATTTAGGTCTAAATCCTCCTGGACCTGATGCTCCACTTGGATCTTTATCTCCCCCAGTAACATGATCATATTCATGATTTCCAATTCCAACCATATAGGGTACACGAGCTGATATTGGTTGTATTTGAGTCATAAATCCATCCCATAAAGCTCCAATACCTCGAGCATAACTTATATCACCAATATGAAGTAAACAAGTAACATTTGTTGATATAATACGTGATGTTACTCGATTAATTGTTGATTTAGCACCAAGTTCAACTGGTGATAAACCCAAATCACCATAAGCAATTAAATTGATTGATTCATCTTTATTTGCAGGACGATTTGTAAATGAATAAATTTGTGACCAACCATGTTGATCAGTTCCAACACGATAGAAATATGTTGTGGATGGGCGAAGATCTTCTAATAAAATAGTATGCATATATCCAGGATGAATAAATGTTTGTGGTCCCCATATATTAGCTTTTTCTTCACACATATCGGATGCTGTATAAGTTGTTGTTGTTCCATTTTCACGTAAACTAAGTGATAATGGACTTAATCCATATTGACATTGAGGTATATATTCAGATGAATTTGTTAAATATGAAACATAAATTAGATCAATACGATCACCATAGGCTAAATGAATATGTGTTGGTTCATTGTAATTTAATGGTTCAACTACAGGAGATTTTGCAATTAAGGAATAATTACCAGAACAAGTATAATCACGAGAATAATAACGAAATTCAAGTTTACGACGTAAATTTGTCATTTGCCATAATGTACTACTTTGATCTTTTTTAACAAATTCATAATCGAAATAGCCACAAGCTAATTAAAATAATAACAAAAAAAAAATATTCTAAGTTTTTTTTTCCTTATCAATTATTTGTGTATTAATTAACTACTATGTTATACAATACTTTATCTAATGAAAAATCTTAATAAAAAAAATTTTAATATTCTAAACGAAAGTTAATGTGTTCCATTTTCAGTTCTTTTTTAATCTTTTAAAATAAATTTTAAAGATATTAACATATTTTAATGTTTTTCTTCACGTTAAATATATTTACCGTCTAAAGGATCAATTTCAACAAAATAAATCCCAACAAAATCATCAATACAAGGAGCTAATGTTGGTGTCCATGTAATAGTGATTTGATCGTTGCTTGAATAAAACGTAGCTGATACATTTATATACATGAAGTTTAGATTTTTCAAAGAAGAACGAATGCCCGTACGACGATTACATGCATGTGGACTTGGTTCATCGCCCATACCATGACCTTTACCAAATGGTCCATTTCCATTTAAATGACGATCACCTCCGACAACAATTATAGACAATACGAGAAGAACAACAAGGGATCTCATTTTTATGAAAATAAAATTGTTTGACAACATGTCATATCATACTTATATTTAAATTAGAAAAACAAAATGATAAACAAATTGATAGTGTGATAATGTATCTTTCTTTGCTTTATCGAGAACATTCTATTCTGATGATGATAAACATATTCTAGTAGATAAAATCTCTTTCTCTCTCTCTCTCTCTCATAGTAGAGTTTTATAGAAGCTTTAGAACTTTTCATAAGACTAATACAATTAAGTAATATTAGTCATCTTCGGATTAGAATCACTATTCATTCGTTTAGAATTGTTGTTAATCATTAGCTCGGATATATATCTGATATTTAGCTCTAGCAGTGTATCAACACTACGAAATAATATATTTATCTCAGAATTTGTTTTGAATCCAAAGCTCAATTACATGACTGCGATGAAAGCAGTCCATTGTGATGTGACAACGGTGAAATATTTACTCAAACAATGTGATCAGTCAGAATATTTGATAGATTCAATCCGATCTGGTCGATGACGTGCAAAAAATGATTCTATTCGTCAGACAACAGACATTCGTCACTAGACGAGACATTACAAATCAACTGAAGCGGAAATGAATCGTAGTCAGTGAAAGAACAGTGTGACAGCAACTTAATGAAGCAGACGCAAAATATAATTGATCCATACCGAAGTTATTACTCTTGAAAGACCATTGAGAGAACTGTTTATATTGAACACAAGATTAAATGGCTATGAACTGAGAGTAAATTATATTTTCTTGCGAAACAACCATCTGTCTGAATTCAGTCAAAGAATTGATTTGGAACCTATAATGGAAAAAATAGATTATACGAACTGTCAAACATCCTATTAAAATCAATCTTAAAGGTTATATCTTAACTCAAGATTTCATTTACGTCGTCTATTTCAAACATAATTTGGATATGACATTAATGTGTGACATTTACAAGTGTAGTCTTTTGTCAACAACTCAAAAACAATTTGTCTACGATTAAATCTTGTGGAAACTGCAAAAAGACAACGATTCTTAAGATACATCAAAATTATTATTCAGCTAAAGAATAAATAATGGTCTTCACAAAATTGATTAGTTGTTGATGTCATCTGATTTTATACGTATCGAAAATGTTTGGCACATCGTCAAAATGAACTTATGAAGAAAAAATATCACAATTTCTTAATTGTTTATTTGTGCAATAATACGCGAATGAAGTGTTCAAGCTATTGAAGTTGTCCATCAAACTTTTACATTCTATTAATAATTAACTTATTCCAGTTGATGAAAATCAGAGTGACTTTATATAAAGTTTATGACTAGAATATTTCATGAGCTTGTACATTATAAAAGCACTTTTATTTGATTACTTAAGTTAATGAAGTTCGTCTGTTTAGAGGGAAGACTGTTGCCCAGTATCGTACGAAATATAGTTTTTATTTAAATAATTCTTGTTTACAAAAAATCTTATGTTATATGTTTTTTCTAATATATTATTTCGTAGTGTTGATACACTGCTAGAGCTAAATATCAGATATATATCCGAGCTAATGATTAACAACAATTCTAAACGAATGAATAGTGATTNCATAGGAGATAAATATGATGTGGTAGTACTGTTCGTCAGTTGCTCGCTCCTATGCGAACAATAATTTATAAGTGGTTGTTCACACATCGAATACAATTCTTGTACTTGTTCGACATCATAACCGGTGTGTTGTATGCAAGATGCATCAGTGCGTCTCCATTCTGACCAAGGACGTTGTTCTACAATATGAATAGAATGAGAGATGCACAAGGGGGAAACAGCTGATTATTGATTAGGTTTGATTAAGAGTGATTAGAAGTGATTAGGAATGATTAGGAGTGATTACTAATCAAGCCTAATCAAACCTATAGGCTTGATTAGGCTTGATTAGTAATCACTCCTAATCATTCCTAATCACTCCTAATCACTTCTAATCACTCTTAATCAAACCTAATCAATAATCAGCTGTTTCCCCCTTGGAGATGCATGTGTAAAATAAGAGGAATAATGTTACTCACTATCATTTAAAGCTCGAAACTGTTGTTGTTTTTCCTCCATTTTCTGTTGTTTTTCCTCCATTTTCTGTTGTTTTTCTTCTTCAAATTCTGGTGTACAATAACTACAGCGGTCACAATGACGATAATAATTCGTGTACAAACCAGATTTTCCTGAGCCAGTACATGTCCAAGTTAACATTCAATGACAATCGGTACAGTATTTTCGACGATCAGTTACAGCAGATCCACAACGAGAACAATCCCATTCGATTTGTGAAGAAGACATAATCCAAGCGTATTAAGCGTCTGTTATCGAGCGAAAGTGTGTTAAAGAAAACGAAGAACGAAAAGAAATGAAAAAAAATCAAAGTTCGACCGAGAATAATCTAACCCTAAGACGAAGCTAAGACAGAATAAATAAAATATTATCTCACATCAAGCATATACCGAGAGCAAGATATCAATAAGTACGATATGACGTACGTTTGATACAATGATTCAAAGGATGTACTTATCGATTCTCATTCTTAGTAATATAATAGATCCGAAATAGTAACAAATCAGTAGGACTATACGTGAGGTACAATTGGTAAAAAAATCATATTTTTGTGATGAGCGGTTGAAGTTACATAAACAAATGAATGTTGGGGTATCCGGGCGTTGATCGCGCCCATATATAAAATTTTGAAGAGCTTGACGAGCTCTATCCCACCATGTAGAAATATCAAGAGAAAATATTTTACCTTGTATTTTAATTCATGACGCTTTAATTTTCTATGTCAAAAGCAGAATCAAATTGTTGAACATTTCTTAAGTTCGACATTGAAAGTTTTTGACAACCCTTACTATTTAATACCAATAAATCCCATTTTCGACGCGCTTTAATCTAATATAAAAGCTGTTAGCGCAATCCCTTACGGGATTAAAAATGTGAAACACGATGGATCTATTGTTACTAGTTAAATAGAAATCGTTTTGTTCCATTTCTTTGCGATACATTTGTAGTTAACCATTTATCTGATGCTTTAGAACTACAGTTGCTCTGTCACGGTCTGTGATGGGTCCAAAAACCTGTCTGTCACGATCTGTGATGGGTCCGAACCAAGGGGGAAATAACTGACTTTTATGACTTTTACGACTTTAAAGTCATTCAAAGTCATCAATAACTCAGTATATTTGAAAGAGGATGTTAGTAAATATTCATCTAGAATCTGTTCACATATTAACATATCAATATACGCTTCGATCGTGATACAAAAACAATGATTTAACCAAAACACGCATGGAATATAACTATTGTCCATTTCAAAAACAAGGACGAGTGGGTATTTTTCGAATAACTTTTGATAGGAGCAAGGTAGTGAGTTGCGATTTCCACTATCAGAAAGAGAAGATCCAGGAGTATCAACATATGCTGAAATCCGATTGGTCAGCAATGAATGAATCGGATGCATTTTCGAGGGACATGTTGAGAACGGTACCTTGGACCCATTTCGTAACTTGGCTCAATTGTTAATTTACATTTGTGGTAGAAAAATTGTCCTCTTTCGATCTATGCATGACAACCATTCTAGCTTGTTTGGTTCAAGAGATAGAAGGATTTTTCTGAGACCACGGATTTCAGTCAATTAACTGTGAACCATCCAGAAAACATTTTCGAATAGGGTAATTCACAAAGAGGAAACCAATGAATTTATGACGTAAATAATTTAAATGACCTTTTTTGACTTAAGGCGGTCCCCCTCAGAAACGAACTTTGTTATTTTTCGTCCGATTTCAACCAAATCTTGGGAAAATATTAGTTTAGGCTAGGATAGATTATGGTTCAAATATCTCCCCTAAACCTCCAATATACTAACGAGGTATAGTCAATTTATTGGTCAAAAGTACCCTGTACGCGGGCAAGCTTTTCGCAATCAGAATACGAGCTAACATGCCGGGGCGTTTTTTAAGTTGTAGAGTACCCTTAGGGCTAGATCCTCACAGAGTCCGATTTTTGAAATTCCCTTTGTTTGTTTTTTAAAAAATCTTTTCCCAAAAATTCTTGAATTCATGATCAAAAAAATCACTGCTAAAAATGAAATATGTAAGTTTTTTGTTTCGTCAATAAAGATATTCAAAAATCAGACTCTGTAAGAATCCAGTGCTAACTGTCCTCTATACAATAAAAAAAATTATCAATTCTCTATTGAGTCGTTATTAAAAAACCTTGTCCACGTAAACGTATGCTCGAAAAAAATTGATTTTGAGAAAAAACGGATAAGAAGTTTTTAAAAACCTAATTTTTTTCAATATGGGGGTTCAGAAAAACCTATGTAATATTCTTAAATGTCATGATAAAATCAATCAATTATAGTGCATTCGAGAGTAGACATTTTACTCTATCTAATGAGTTACAAATCATAAAATCGATAAATTTGACCAAAATTGACTTTTCTGGCAGGGGGAGGGAGGGGCTTAAATGATCTGAAAAATCGAAAATTATTATTGTTTTTCATCATGTATCTTGCTTTACATCACATTATTACTTGAGATTTTTACATGTTACATTGAGAAATATTGAAAGCAGTCGTGGAGCCAAGATTCTTAGCATCTCATGCAAGGGGAATGCAACTAACTTTAGGACTTCAATGATTTTTATGATTTTATGACTTAAATGGTCTGAAAGATTGAGAACTTTCCCAGTCTATCTTCTTATATTTCGATTTCTATCTCATAATATTTTGAGAATTCTATTTCCACTATTTTCCTAACTTATAATATGCTAGGAGATATCCAAGAGAACATCCATCTCCGTTTTATGTTGGCTCATCGTTTTCAGCTTAATTGTTCAGCTGAATAACACATAGATCAATTAGTCTACCGTTCGACTTGTTTCATACTATGTCTATCTTATCGTTGCCTCTTGCAATATGTCGTTCTTGATTAGAAAACAACGCGATCTTCAATAATCACATTTTATCTCAGGTTCTACATTCACATGATA